TGGCTTGCTCACTGACTTTTTCGAGACCACTTGCGAAACCTGCCGACACAGAGAAAGGAGGAAGGTATACGTGGAGAAATATTGCATTAAATACTATGTATCTATTTAGACACAATGTATTCTAGTTCTTCTGCCATATGAGGTTGTCCTTTACTATGCGTAAAGATTCGCGTGTAGTTACTTACAGAACGCGTCCTCCCGTTCGGGCGTAGGGACAGCGATGGCCAGGCCGGCCACAACCAAATCCATGTCCTGGCCCTATGGCCGGCCGGCTGTCTCGTAGCTCATCGAGCAGGACCATGTCTTCCATGGTTTTCCTTTTGCTGCCGCTCCGGCTGTCATGGCCGCGTACCTTTCGGTACTGTGCTGTCACGTTACGGTATTCGCCCTGTGCCGGCTGGTGTCTGAAAAAGGCTGCATTACCGGCTATAAGCACGCTCAAGATGCGATGCCCAGAATATTCTGCTGACCAGCCATCGATGCTTTAGGGATGTGCATCTAGTGTCTTGCAACCTGTAAACGCACCGGTGACGACACAGTCCTCGGTTACCGTCATGCGTCATTTGCACGAAGACATTTGGATATTGTTCAGATTGTGTGCGTTAGTCATCGGAGATGTTTGCGTCTCTGAATCGGGTGGCTGTTCGCGCCATTTTTGTCGGCTGGAACATTCCATATCTGCGTGTCCGGTGTTTTCAATTTGTATCATGTATTTTGTCGATGGTTGTGGTCCGCTATGATTGCTGGCTTGCTTGCTCTGGCTTGCTCCCTGTGGCTTGCTCCCTGGTGTGCTCCTTGTTCTTCACGGCAACACCAGCTTGCGGATGTTGTCAACACAGAGAGAATGGTATTCATGGAGAACTAATACTTTGAATGTTGGCATTCAGACACAATGTATTGCAACTCTTCTGCCATATCAGCATTTCCTTACCAGCATACATTGACAATCAGAGCACATCTATCTGCTGCAACTCTTGACATGCTCTGCCTATACCCATCGACTAGTGAACTTCCAAAAGCAATCAAGATTTTCATAATCCATGAGCTGATCTTTGGTGTACCCGCTGGACGAAAATAGCAAGTGCATGTCTATGTGCACATATGTCAATGCAGGACAAGGTTTATGGCAGTTTTCTGACTCGTCAGTGAAATTCCATACGGGTCGGTGCCACCGAGGTAAGGGCGATTTAACAAGGCGACGACTTATTCCGCAATGTCTTCTCTTAGATTCCGTGCTTCAAATGCTGCACAGGTCAGAGTGAGTGTCGATAATCTACTGTCCATGTCTGTTTTGGATTTGTTGCTGCAGCTCACGGTTTATCGTTATCTATGTTTCGAGTTCGTAATTTAGCGTTTTCAGATCGCTGCCTGGTCTCAATACACCACGCTCTAGAATTAAGATCCTCTTTTCGAGATGTTCAGACTTTTGTCAAACAGCAGCTCAGCCTTTGCCATGCTGGATCAGCTGCTGAACGACTGACGGACGCCGTACCCAGCTCTGCCCTTCCAGCCGGCTCGGATGGCCGCACCGCCTCCGGCGCGGAGGCGCTCCCGGCCCTGCTCGGCGAGAGGGAGCCGGCCGCCCGGCGGTGCGACCGGTGGCGCGCCATTTCGGAGGCAGAGACCCGTCGTCTTCAACGTTTGCCCCGCCCGCCGTCCGTGCCAGGTGTAGCGTCGGCGAAAGGCGTCTCCTGCGCGCTGTCAAAGTCCGAGGCTGTCATATCCGCTGTGGCCGACCGGTGACGTCACATCGGCCGATCGATGACGTCACGTGTGTGAGTGTGGAGTCCGATTGATGTCGCTGTCCACGGGTCAAGTTACGGGGAGAAGGCTTGCCCGTCAGGTCACGTTCACCAGCGGCTATAGCGCCATGTCACGTCACGGTGAGGCTCAGGTTCGGGACGCTGTCGGCCGCCCGGCTGCGAGAACGACCCGACACCACCAGAGGTCCGCGTGAGCGACCCGACACTACCGGCGGTCTGCGAGGCGACCCGACGCCACCGGCGGTCTGCGAGGCGACCCGACACCACCGGAGGTCCGCGGCGCGACTGGTCTTTTGGAGCTTTATAGGCGTTAAGTCGCATCTCTTCATGTTTGCAATGCCAGGCTGTCGCCCTGCTTTTGGACTTTCGCGGCCCGGGATAGAACGCCGCCGCCATCAGGCTCAGCGAAGGTGATGCAGCGCCGGTGCAACACGCGGCCTTCAATCGCGATGCTGCCACTCTGCCAGGCCTCAGTCGGAACCACACGCTTGATTTGGATTGGTCTCTGGTGTTCATCTCTGCTGCGTTTCGCCGTTGCTCGAGCCGCACCTGAGTAACTTACTGGAGCCCTGACTCACTAGCTCGTAGGACCTGTCCAGGTGGGTTCTCGGAACATTTGAGACATCAGCCGAGACATGTCTGAAGCCATCGCTTTTGTAACATACTCATCTGAAAATGGCTCCACAATCAGGAGCGCTGCAGGCATGGCTTCACAACCGAGAGCGCTGCACGCATGGCTTTACAATCGAGAGCGCTGCAGGCTTGCTGGCGCCCTGTACAAGGGGCCTCGTGGACCCCACTTTCTGTTTGGATGTACCCGTTACCTGAAAATGGCTCTGCAATTGTAAGTATTACAGACTTGCTGGTACTCTCTACAAGGGGCTCACGAGATCCTGCATTTCCTCTTTGGATGGAGCAGTTATCGACTGCTGATGCTATGCTTTGCTTTAACTATGCTTTGTGGCAGCAAAGAAAGAGATCTTCCTCAGTCGGGGAGGCGCCACAGTTACAACATGACCAGGCAACACCCGGTACGACTTCCTGTCGGCGACTGTCAAACACGCACGTTTCTTGCACAGCCCAGGGGCAAGGCTGCCACAGAACTGCAACTCTCCAGTCCGCCATGCAATTGTAGTGCGCGGCCAGAACAGGCCCGCTGGCCTTACACATAATCCAGGGTCGAGAGGCTTCTCCGGGATGCGCTGAGAATGATTCACCTCTAAGTTTCCCAGGCACCATTTAACGTAGCAGTTTACGTAACGTAGCAGTTTAGCAGAAACTTTAGCGGAATTATGGGAGCAGCTCTTCCGAGAATAACGGGCGGGGGGGGGGGGGGAAGGGCTCCGAGCTGTTAAGGTTGGTAAATTGGATGGCTTCGAAATCAACACCTAGCAGAAAGTGACAGTGGATCGATCAACGGCGTTTCGCCTGGCAGACAAGCCGGCGGGTCTGGCCTGATCGGCCACGCTCCTGCAAACGCAGCCGAAGCCCAGCAGTGGCCGCTGTCCCCGTGTGCCTGGAGTTTCAGGGGTGCCGCGCCGGCCCGGCCGCGGAGTTGGGTCGCCGTCCACTGAGCGGGGGCCGGCCTGCAGACGTCGCGAACGCCACCACCATCCAGCTGGCTTCGTGGGCAGGCTGCGACGGCAGCCCGTCGCCAGTCGTGTCTCTGTCTATTCAGGAACTTGTCAGCCGTGTGTGGAATGAGGGACTCGACAGGTTTGTGGTGAACCCTTGAAACAAATGCTTCTCAAACTTCAACCATCTTATTTCGTCCACTTTGCTTTTCACTAAATCGTGTGTTAAAGTAAGCTGGGTAGCGGAGCAGGTCGCATCTTGAAGACTCCAAAGTAAAGACGGACCATTGAAAACAATATCGTCACCGTGGACCCTTGATACGTAATGTAGCGCGCTGTGCGTAAAGGCGAAGCGTTGTGCTTAACGTGATGGCGCACTGTCACCACGCGCTCTCCAACGTGGGGTCGTAATATGACTGAACGCTGTTCCAGTGGGCGTGCGCGGCGAAACACGCGAGCTTCGCCGGAGGAGGTGGCATCGTCTGGGACAGGTTGGAGGCTGGCTGTCCGCTGAGCTGTCAACCGCCGCTGAGCGCTGGGGCGGGCTTCGGTAGTGGATCCTAGGAGGGACTGGTCTGAGCCGTCACCATCGCTGGAGGAGGGACCGGCCTGAGCCGTCACCATCGCTGGAGGAGGGACCGGCCTGATCTGCCACCTTCGCTGGAGGAGGGACCGGCCCGAGCTGCCACCATCGCCGGAGGAGGGACCAGCCTGGGCCGTCACCATCGCTGGAGGAGGGACCGGCCTGATCTGCCACCATCGCTGGAGGAGGGACCGGCCCGAGCTGCCACCATCGCTGGAGGAGGGACCCGCCTGATCCGCCACCACTGGGACACTGACCGACCGAGGACGGCTGGGTGTGGGCCGCTCGCGAGCCGTGCTGGCCTGATGGGCAGGGCCGCAGGTAATCGGTCGGTTGGCTCTCACTGTCACAGACCTCCTGTGCATGTTACAAGTGACGTGCGGCCTGAATATGTGTGAACATGAGCGAGCGCACCCGAACACAGGCTTGTGAGAGTGCCAGTTTTACACCCGCGTGCTTCGGTGATATGGTGCAACGCGTCTATTCCGAGGAACTATGAGAGGTCTGATCAGTTGTCACTTCATGCCCTGTCACATAGACACTGTTCGCCGTGTTGTTGGAGGATGTATTACTTCATGTGCTCATATGACGGACAGAGTAGTGTTTTATCTTCTGAAACGCATATTGGATGCGTTGTGTCTGGATAATACCTGAATACTCAAATGTCCGCCGTGCTCAACCATTGCGAAGTCGGCGCGCCCTGAAACCCCAGTCAACAACAAGCCCTGAGCCACTGTGCCCGACGCGTCCCTGAGCCCATATCACTAATATCCACCCTTGGCCTCGCTTGTATTTCTGTCGGCAGTTGGTGATCAATAAATTGCACACGTTGGGCGTGTTTCATGGCACAGTAGAGAGCCAGCCCGATGCGGAACAGGATATGGCAGTCAGCGCTGTCTCACCGTCATCAAAACACATCACATCCAGAAACTCACCGGTGGCCACAGTCGATTACGTTGTCTCGAAGCATTGCAACAAACCCTGTTCAGCCTAGACACTGACCTACTCGTAACACCCGTTGTGGATAGACTTCATTGCATAGTTCATCATGTAATAATGGCATTGAGTAACCTTGTGAAACTAATGGAACGGCAAGAATATGTCCGCGATTTGGGCTTGGAAGCCCTTATGGCCAACGCGCGATGGAGGTTGACGAGTCGGACACTTGGCATGCACTAGGGCCAATCCATCAAACCCACGGTCTCATGTGGCATACGACGCTCGCAGAGGGGCGCAGTTGACTCACGCAAGCCACCAGCGCGCCGGTGACGTTTGGTAGTCTGTAGCGTAGATGCCCGGCGTCGTCGCCATCCCCCCTGCCAGGACCTCGGGTTCCAGGGCCGGCCAGCGTCCGCCGTTCCTGGCTCATGTCCTCGAGCTGCCGAGCGTCAGCTGGCTGCGCAGCTGGCGCCTCTCGTCCACCAGCAGCTGCTGCTGGTCGGCCAGCTGGGTGGCGGCGGCGGCGCTGAGGCGCAGCTGGCGCTCGGTGCCCTCGGCCCGCAGCAGCAGCTGCTCGTGCTGCCGGCCGTACTGGTAGCAGCGCGACTCAAGCCGTCGCCGCGCCGCCTCCGTCTCGGCCAGCCGCCGCTCCAGCTGGCTGCTGCTCTCGGCCAGCTGCTGCCGGCTGCTCTCGGCTGCTGCCAGCTGCGCGGCGAGCGTTGCGCACTCCGCCTCCAGTCGCTCCACTAGCGCCGCCTGGCGGGGAGACGTGCGACAGTCAGCTGGCTCGCTGAAGCTGGCTCAAGCTGAGTGCTGCACTGCACGGAATGTGAACTCGTAAAATAAACTTATTTTGATGGAAAGCCCGCACTGAAATTTCGTGCACGGTGTCATCCAGCATCAACATGCCAAACAGTATCCGTGCAACATCCGTGCAGCATCCCAAACAGTATCCGTGCAACATCCGTGCAGCATCCCAAACCTGCGGAGCGTGCACAATAAACGCGTGCATCCGAGACCGCACGTCACGCAGAGTTTGGTGTTTTCCTCGTGAGGCGAATTTAGCGACACGCTGCTGAAAGTTAAGCATATTGACTAAACTAGGAAGCCCGCTTATAAACAAGCACATGACAAGACTACACTAGCTTCCCATTTTTTTGTCGTCGTGGGTGAGATAGCGAAAATACTAGATGGAGGCAGCTTGTCAGTTAAGCTAGCAGCTGGTTAAAATATCTAAAGCATAGTTCCACAATGAGAAAGTAAAGTGCGCGGTGCACACAATCCCAAACGAAGCACCTCGCACCAATCTCGAAGCACCTCACAGCACGGCGGCTGCTGCTGAATCAAGGGCATTCACTGCTGATGCGACCGATTTTCGGAGTACGGAGGGAGGAACACTTCAGAAGCCGAGGTGGGCACTGCTACCTAAAACGGTGTTAGTCTGCGCGGAACTAAGCGAATCGGTCATCTTACGGCATCTACACCGGGTGACAAAACACAATCTCGTGGAAATAACAGAACAGTCTTTCCACGGCCCGTTCAGAGGCTTAGTCGTCACCTGACCTGCGACTCCAGCATCGTCTCCAGCTGCTCGGCGCGGGTGTCGCTCTGGGCGCGGACCTGCGCCACGGCCTTCAGCAGCTGCTGCTCCCGCGTCTCCAGCTGCTGCGTCAGCGTCTTGACGTCGTCGACGCGACCGCGCTCGGCCGCCTGCCGGTCCAGCTGCTCGCCGGACGTCCGCCGCTCCAGCATGTTCACCTGAGGGGCGAGGGCAGACCACGCTGAGGGTTGCCGACCGACTTCGCCAAACAGCACCACCGGGCCATGGGCCAGCACTGGAGCGTGAGTATGCCCTGGATCGCTGAGGAATGCTCGCCAAACCTCGTCAAGCTGTGAATTAGAAGTGATACAGGGCTGCAGCACTCGTGCGCCCCGAGTAGATACTGTGGCGGGCTGGTGTTGCGGTCCCCTACAGCCTCAGAGCTGCTGAACGAGTGTAGCAGTGGACCATGCCCCGGGGCCGTGTGTCAGCATGTAAGGCGAGTGGGGCGATGACTCATGTCTGGGTGAGAACAATCACGGCTCGGGGCGGTGCGTCACGGTGGCGCCGGCCAGTCGCTCGCAGATCGTGTTGCGGGAACGAGCCTTGGAACGAGTACAAGAGGTGCTGCTCGGGCGCGTGGGGGGAGTCTCTCTCTGTCGGCGTTGTGTGCGGCAGCTCGCCGGTGTGTGTGGGGTGGTCCAACCGAGATGTGACCACCGAATACAACGAGGTCACCCTGTCGCATGAGGAGAACCACGACACGGTTTGGACGCAACTGGACAGCGGTTGGACCCCAGCCAAACCAGTCGTGCAACTGCCGAGAGGAAGACTTGCGACGGTTGGAACCGATGGATAAATAGATCGATGAAACCCATCTAATGGCTCACCATCCCAACTACTCCAAATGCCTGCAATCAGATCACTACGACCCGAAGGAAGTCGTTGGGGATACGGTGTGCTTGCAAGCTGGCGCAATGATCAAACCACCCAACACATGGCGTTGTGTTCTCACATCAAACATCAACTTTTCGCGGCGAACAAACATTATGTGTCGCCCCGTTCTGTACGTGTGTTCGTGATGTCCTTCGTCAGAGTGGCCAAGTTTTCGGGGTGTGGTGCGCCCGCGTGGCCTGCCAACCCCTCCTTGGACAATAGTATCGCCAACTGTCAGCGGATCATTGTCGGGGGCTCGGAAGCAAAATTATGTGTGCTGCCAGATCAACAGCCTTGCAACATATCAAAAGATATCGGAGACACAAAATCACTTATGCCGACGGTTCCAAAGCGGACACGGGCGTCTGCTCCGCCTTTGGGTGAGGCCACGCTACGTCATCTTTAAGCTGCTCACCTGCTCCTGCAGCTGGACCCTGTCCCGGTGAGAGTCGCTCACCTGCTCCTGCAGCTGAACCCTATCTCAGTGGGAGTCGCTCACCTGCTCCTGCAGCTGAACCCTGTCCCGGTGAGAGTCGCTCGCCCGCTCCTGCAGCTGGACCCTGTCCCAGTGGGAGTCGCTCACCTGCTCCTGCCCGTAGCTGGACTCTGTCCCGTGGGAGTCGCTCACCTATTCCTCTAGCTGAACCCTGTCCTGGTGGAGTCGCTCACCTGCTCCTGCAGCTAAGCCCTGTGTCGGTGGGAGTCGCTCACCTGCTCCTGCAGCTGGACCCTGTCCCGTTGGGCGGTGCTGAGCGCGCTCTCCGCCAAGGCCAGCTGTTTGCGGAGAGACGCCCGCTCAGCCTGCAGCGTCTCCGTCTCTCCCCGTCTCTCCTGTTCGGCCCGCTCTGCCGCCGATTTCACGGTCTCCAGCTGCGCCTCTGCCTATTGACCAGACCCGATCCAAGGTGACCAATCGCAACACGGTAAAATGTCTGCCGTTTATGGCGTGAGCAGGCACTCAACCGACCACTTCATGGAAATCTGGTGGGGCAACCAATCACCGAGTTATCATTTGGTACAGCAGCTAATCGCTGCACGACCGGGCCACACAGTGGCAGCAAAGCAGAGCAGTGTTCTCTTTTTGATACAGAATGAAACCGAATGTTTGTTGAAAGATCAAACCCAAACATTTTGCGTGGAAGAATTTTGGAAACGACGAAAAAAATTCAAGCGTTTTTGTTTTGTTTTCATATTGCGGAGGTAAATGGCTGGATGCAGCCGAAAAGGGGGGTGGGTGGGGGTGGTAACAGGTTCTGGGAGTAAGTTAGGCCAACCTTATTGGCCACGCCCCTCCCTAACCAACCAATTTTAGGAAATGGCACCCTGTGTGCAACTACAAATCACCGAATGTCTTCGAAATTACGAGCGTGATTTTTGTTTTGCTTTGTCTTGCTCTGAGTGAGCCGAATTACCATGGTGGGTACATTACGACGGTATTGTGGGTATTTCTTACTTGACAGTTTACTGGTGTTAGTTTACATAAACAACTCATCCCTGGTCAGAGGTCTTTGGAAGGGTAAAGCTGTCTTTCCACAGTACTTCCCTACGACTTACATTCACGCGTCGCCGCTGCTCCTGCGCTAGTTCCTGCTGCTGCCGCGCGGCGGCGCGCTCGGCGTCGAGCCTGGCCTCATCGGTGGCCTGCTGCTGCGCCTGGACGGCGCCGCGCAGCTCCTGCTCCAGACGCTGCCACTGCTGTCGCTCCGCCTCCAGCTGCCAGCGGACGGCACCAGCGGTGTCGGTGTCATCATGTCTGCATCGGACCATCGGACAGCGGATGGAGCCGCCTGACCTGGGTCAGCACGGGCCGGCAGTGACCTGGCCCAGAGCGGGGTACGGACGGCTGGCTGACCTGGCCCAGTTTTTCGGTGAGCTCCTCCAGCTGGGCCCGCAGCCGGTCGAAGCTGGCCTGCACAGAGCGCTCGGCCTCCTCCCGGGCCGCCGCCACCCTGCGCTCCTGGTCTGCGATCAGGCGCTCCTGCCGCTCCTGCTGACTCGCCTGCTCCCTGCGGATGCGCGCAAGGAGCCAACGGTCAGCCACCAGGCCGGCCATGTATAAACACCAAACCTGTGCACGGTACTTCGGAACACCAAACCGACAAAGGCTGGCAAACTGTGCCTGAGGCTCTTTTAAATGCGCTGTAGTGTTGGTGCGTGGGAGAAAATGCTGATGCATTCTGTTCCATACACGCCATCAAGAGATGAAAGATTTAAACACAGAGGTGTTTGTGCGTTATGGCCATGCGAGCACGGCACCACTTCAAGATGTGGCGTTGTCCCCTCCCCGGTGGCGCACCTTCTGAGCACCTCTGCCGCGTGCTCGGCCTCAGCCTTCTCCAGCTGAGCCTGCTCCGACAGCCGCACGCTCTGCGACACCTTCTCCAACGCATCCTCCTCCCGTCTCTGCAGCTCACTGACTCGGCTCTGCACGCAACAGGCACGCCAGCATCAAACACCACATGAAGCACCCCACTCCCATCTTTGCAGATCTCTGAAGTGGCTTGGCAAGCAATCGACACTTTTTGACTTTTTCATTCGCGCGACCACGCTCCAGTCGTCATCACGCAGCAAACATGACGGCAGGTGCTGAAGAAGGAGCTCACCGGGCGTTATCAGCACACGTCGGGGAAAGCTTCCATTAACCAGAAAGGGATATACAACCGTCGGCCCTTGAGAAAGCCGCACGTACAGCCTTAAAGTTAGCCCTCTGAAAGTTACTATGTCAATGCAATGACCTGACCGATATTGCCGTTGTGCGGATCTGTACACAGTGTCAGTGTGGCCCGTGTTTCAGTGTCTCGGTGTTGCAGTGACGCCGTACGTGTCTGTGCTGACCTTGCACTCTGCCTGACCTGACCTGCAGTCTGTCTGACCGTCTGAACTGGCTAACAGTTTGTCTAGCCGCCTGGCCTGACTTGCACTCTGTCTGACCGTTTGACCCAACCTGCAGTCTGTCTGACCACTTGACCTGACCTGCAGTCTGTCTGACCACCTGGCCTGACCTGCAGTCTGTCTGGCCGCCTGATCTGACCTGCAGTCTGTCTGACCGCCTGACCTGATCCGCAGCCTGTCTTACCACCTGACCTGACCTGCAGCCTGTCTGACCGTCTAAACTGATTTGCAGTCTGTTTGACCGCCTGACCTGACCTGCGATCTTTCTCACCGCCTGAACTGACCTGCAGCGTGCCGAGGGCCTCGGTCAGCTGCTGCCGCTCGGCCAGCTGGCGCTGCTGCTGCTGCTGGTACGGCCCGGCCCGCCACTGCTCGTGCTCGCGCACCACCGCCGCCAGCCGGGCCGCCTCGGCTCGGCACCGCTCCAGCTCCGCCGGCTCCGCTGCTGGCTCCGGCTCCGGCTCCGTTGCCGGCTCCGGCTCCGGCTGCGGCTCCGGCTGCGGCCGGGGCGGGCGGGCGCCGGGCGCCGGCGCGTCACCGCCGGTGGGAGCGGCCGGAGCGCGAGGCGAGCCGCTCGGCCCGACGGCAGCGGCCAGCCGGGTCCGCGTCCTGCCGACGGCGGCAGCCGGCCGACGCTTACTCGGCGGGCGGTGGACAGCCAGACGGTGGACAGGAGCAGACCGACCTCGGACAGCGGACAGCGGCCGGCGCTCGCCAAGGTGGCGAACATCGTCTGACTAATATCTGACATCATCTGACATCTGGCATCATCATCTGACAACGGACATGGGGCGATTGACACTCCGACCTATACATTCAGTATCAGAGCGTGTAGCCTAAACACTCAACGAGGATTTTTGAGAGCAGTGAAGCAGACAAAGAGGTTGGGGCACATAGCCATCCCCCTAGGTTCCGAGGGTCCTGAATGGCGCCTCGGGACTGATGATCAAGGGCCGAGATGGATGCTCGAAGGCTGTATTAACGGGCCAGGATCGTGGGGGCAAGCCTTCAAATGCCAATCAGAGGGTTTTTTGCGCCGAACGGGGGCCTCCTCATTTGATGTGAGCCTTTGCATCCGTCAGGTATCACTAGTACCGAACAGTCTGCTCTGTGGTGGTCTGGGCCTGTGAGGCAGTATTCAAAGTAGGGATAAGGCCCAGGCGCGCGATTTACATTGGTCGGGTCACTGAGCCACTGCGAGACTTTTTGTCGGTCGGGGGACGACGAAAGGGCATCCAGCCAAGCGCACGCAGCAGCCACCATATAGGTATCAATCGACTAACAAGGCCACAGCGCCCCATAGGCCTTCAGCAACCCACTCAACCACGCCCAGGTTTGTCCGTGGCCTGTGGGAACCCTGGTGAGGTCACGCCCTCTGGCCAATCGGCACGCCTGCATCTCTGCCCGATGGCAACCGCCACCTCCCCTTCCCCTCCCCAGCCGATACAGACCTGCGCTCTTCGGCCAGTGTCCTGTTCTCGAAGACCAGCTCCTGCACCTGCTGCTGCATCTCGTCCATCATGTCCCTCAGCAGCTGGTTCTCGTGCTGCAGCTGGTCGACCAGCTGCTCCTGACTGCGGGCCAGCTGCCCCAGCTGGCGCTCCTGCCGACAGCGGCCGCCAGCACTCGGCATGTTGGGCGGAGGCAACAGGTAGCCGTAGGTTGGGAGGTCAGTCGGGGGCAACGGGTAGCCCAAGGCTTGGAGGTCAGTCAGAGGCAGCATGTAGCCCTAGGCTTAGAGGCCATTCGGAGGTAACATGTATCCCTAGGCTTGGAGGTCAGTCAGAGGCAACAGGTGGCCGTGGGCTTGGAGGTCAGTCGGAGGCAACAGGTAGCCCAAGGCTTGGAGGTCAGTCGGAGGCAACAGGTAGCCCAAGGCTTGGAGGTCAGTCGGAGGCAACAGACAGCCCTAAGCTTGGAGGTCAGTCGGAGGCAACAGGCAGCCCTAGGCTTGGAGGTCAGGAGGAGGCAGCAGCAGCACCGGGTTCGAAGGTCAGGGACGAACAGAGCCCACCGCTAGAGGTCAGACTAAGCAACTGACCTACTGACTGATCAAGAATGACACATGACATGGGTGCTTTGAATGTGCTTGACCGTCAAAGTCGCTACCATGCCATTCCCTAAAATGATCCACATTTTACGGAACGGCATAGTGATCTCTGTTTCTCATGGATAGATGAACTGGCTCTGGAAGTGAACATCGCCTGTCAAACACAGATCTCCCTGACCGCAAAGTTTCAGAGTCACTTATCCGCGTGGGAAGTCCAGAGTTGAACAGGAACTCAGCGTCGTGGTATGTTTTGTAACTGTCTTCCGTCCTTTCCGTCACGTCGACGCTACCTGTGTTGAACTGCATCTGTTGTGCTATTTTCACCATGTCAGTGTTTGCGGTGTATTCTATATGTTAAAATAGGTGTTCGCATGCCTGTTCAAAATACGTTACTTGGATTAGTGATGTCTGAAAGATGTTTCAGGATGTGATAGTGCAAATATTCAAATGCGTTGGAAGCATCTCCTATACTGTTGGCTACAGTACTTTTATATGTTTGAAAGTGACCAGTAGTTAACATTATATTTAAGTTAACTTAAACCTTCCTTTTTTACATCACTAAGAAGAAACCGCTGTCAAACGATCAACATCTTAACTATTATGTTCCTGGCAACAGCGCCGAAACAAGTAACCAAAAAGAGCTGTTATCCAAACCAAGCCCAAACGTTATCCTTAGCCACAGCGAGGGTCTGGAGCCCTGGTCAATAATGGTCTGCTCTAAGCGGCCTTCTTACCTTGCTGCCGTCGGCGATCAGTAGTTGGCTGGTGCTGGTGCCCGCGTCAGCCGCCTCCGTCTCCCTCAGAGCCGGAGGAACTCGCCCGGCGCCGGGCAGCAGGGGAGACACCGCCCCAGTTCTGGGCCGCGGGGAGGGCGGAGCCAGCGCCGGAGCCAGCGCCGGAGCCGGAGCCGGAGCCGACAGTGACACTGACAGACGCGGCGGAGCCGGCGGCGGGGGCAGGGGCGGCTCCAGCACCGTCCGCGGTCGAGCAGACGCCTGCACCGTCACACCCAGCGTAGCAATGTCCACATGGGCGCGCCGATGGTCGACGTCTGGCACCACCTGCTGCCAGCCGCCCGGCGGAAGCGCGAGACGCCGGGCGGCAGGTCTCCGGAACCCCACGTCCGGCTCGGAGGCGCCGCGCCGGTCTTGGCGGACGGCGGCTTCGGGAGCCGGCTCCCGGGCGCCGGCGCGGTCGGCCGCTCCGCCGGAGCTGGAGCCGGCCCCCGGCTCGGAGCCGCCGTAGCTGCCGCTGTCGTACTCCTGCAGCAGGAACCGCAGCCGGCCCAACGCCTCCGTGTACTTGGCGTCGGCGTAGTTGGGTAAGTGCACGCGCGGAGCACTCATGTTAACGGCTCTTTAGTCGGTAGTTGCCTGCAGTGAAAATGGTAATTAGCAGACGGAAACCATCTGGAACAAGGATTGCGCAGGAGTTACAACGGAAATTTTTCAAGCTGCACGTGGCGCAGCGCGTGTGACAACTCTGTTTGATTTATGGCAATACATGCACGGTTTGCAATGCGCATCTGTTCGCTTGTATCTGTAACGAAGCTCGTGCTGTGTGATTATTCGATCCTCCCAGTAAGGCGGGTCATCTAGCGCCCAGAGGTAGTGCTTTACCGTTGACAGCATACGTTCGACAGCAAAGACATACGTACCTTGGTCAAAGTAAGGCACAATTACATTGTTTCCATCCTTGATTTATTAAGACAGTCACCGCGGTTTTCTCCTTCCAATCCATTTCGTTATAGGGTCTGCGTTCCGATTCAGCTAGCAGTGTGGGGTGGTTTCCGAGTCGCTTCTGATGCTCACTGTTCCACCCCGGACTGGAATGGGCGGCGGCCAGTAGCAGCCAACGCCTTAAAACTCAGGTGACGTCAGAGGGTAGGACGAACTGCAACGGGCATTGCGATACGTTAATTTTTATCTGCAAAATTGTGCCGTTGGCTCAGAACTTCGCGATTTGATGGCTGGTTTAGAGTTCAGGGATGGCCCTCAGGAAAACGAGCAGTCCTTAGCGTGGGAGCTGGATCCCAGAAATCCATGCAATGATAAGGTTCAGACTCAACATTTTAAAAGAAGCTTGATCAATTCGATCTTCGCAAAAGTATCATGTGATTCAGGGGCGTAGTTTTGACAAATGAGTTGGGGGGGGGGGGGGGGGGGGGCTGGGCCGTGGAAAATAACGCAACATGCCCCAAAATACGCCAACAAACAGTTTCTTCCCGGACTTGGCCCACTTTACTCTAAAAGCTAGAAATGCGCCAGCCTCTTGCGTTCATTGCTGTTATGTTTGTCACTAGAATGGAGAAACTGTGCGTCCACAAAAATGTGCATGAATCGTGCAGAGATTCTAGGCGTTTACTGAGGAGACAAATTCATCACCGAGAAGAACTTATAATTTTAACAGTGTAACGACAAGGACAGCATCAAAAGGAGCCAAATGTCGTCTGATTTTCTGCTAGGACTATGTATAAATCAGGTGCAGCATGACGTACACATGTACAGTCCTCAGCTGACGTCATTCCCCATTTGCAGTCCTCAGCTGACGTCAATCCCCCTTCGCAGTCCTCAGCTGACGTCATTCCCCTTCGCACTGCCCGGGTCGGCTTTCTGCAGTTCAGTTCGCATCCGCTGGCGCCTGCTCGCTGTTTATTACGTCTCTCACCATCCTTGCCTACCCCACCACTGCCGATCTTATTCGCCCTATCGCTTTGCTACGCGGACTGGCGGCCTCATCGCCGTGTCTCACCGCTCCCACTACCTGTTCTGCCGTCCTCGCTGTGCGCTCAGTCGTCCCAATGCCCGCTCAATCGTCTCCATTGCACTGCGTTCCCATCGCCCGCCCGGATCATCCCCATTGCACACCCAATCTTACCCATCGAAGCCCAATCACTCCGGTTTCCCGCCCAGCCGTGCCCACTCACGCACAATCGTCTCCACTGTACGACCAACCGTCCCCACTGCACGCACAATCGTCCCCACTACATGTCCAATCTTCCTCACTGCACGCTCAATTGTCTCCGCTGTACGACCAACCGTCCCCACTGCACGCCCAATCTTCCCCACTGCACGCACAATTGTCCCCACTGTACGACCAATCGTTCCCACTATGCGACCAATCGTTCCCATTGCCCTTCAGTTCACACCGGCTCCCGCTGGTCCACCAACCCCATACTGCAGACGCTGCGGCACTCACATGCTCAACTGCCCGTAAGCGCCACTCACCGTTCCCCCCGGCCGTGCTCCGCCGCCGGCGCCGTCGATCTGGGTGCCCGCTGCAGCCCGCTCCGAGACCGAGTCCCGACCGGCAGCGCACCTGCCCCTCCCCCTCCCCCGCGCGGGGTGGGAGGAGTCAGCGGAGCGGAACCGGCCCCGCCGGCGCCGGCAGCGGTCGCCGGGGGACCGGCAGCAGCCCGCGGTCGACGCGACGCGGGACGCAGCGGAATCGATCTACCCGCTACACAGACGGCACATCATCAGTCTACACGTGCCGGTTTGTGGTTGATATCAGCGCGTCGTTTCGCGCGGACCGCATGGCGGTGCTCACAGCCATCGTCGCTGGAATGTCGACACCCTGGGTGCGCCCCTGGATATCGATCTTGGATCGTCCGAGCTCAGAAGCAAACGCCACCACTGTGTGGATGGCACACCGCTACCGGTATCCAGGTACGCAGCGTCGATACAGGCCGTTGTAAACAGCTCAAACCGGGGACTAATTGCACGCACTGTATTGAACGGGGCTGGGTCATAGAACTCAGGTGGCGGGCGTGAAGCGAGGCATGAAATTATTGGTATGGGAGGCTGAGGACATTTCACAGTGTAGAGAACATGATTTGAGATACGAATACATTACTTCTGATATTTAAGTATTCAACTAAATTGTAAATGTACTCTTTAGTCCTTTGCTGATAACATAAGCCTTAGTGGTTTTAGCAAGATGATTGTTGAACAAAATTGCGGTGTTGAACAAAATCACAGCTCCGGTGCTTGATACCAGAGTCGAGATATTGATCAACGGAGCGAGATATAAACATGTTTATCACGTACCTTGCATCATCTGTTTTACTCGGCTGCGGCGCTCATTTTTCGACTCTGCTATCGACGTCCGCGGCCGTGACCGGAAATATATTTAAACCGCATCCCCTTGAATGCCTGAAATGCTTCTTTTGGGTACACTTAACGCGTGTCAAATTGCACAAGAACTAATCATCTTACAGCTTTTTATCTTGATGCCCTGCAGCTCAGAAATCTCACTGAAACCAGGCAATAGGTCACTGAAGGGCATCATGTATTCAAATGCTTCGATTTAACAGCCTCCAGCTGTGAGCTTGTTCAGTTTTGTAAGCGATATATTTGGGACATTTTCACCTTTGAGGCCTAGCTCACCGGAGCTTCTTCTTCGTGAGATAACTTAACTGCGGCATGACTGCTCAGTGCAAGGTGTAGTGTACAAATATAATTTGCAGACTGATTTATAGGGCCTGTTCGGTTACAGTAGAAAGGCAGATAACCCACTAAACACCTAACTTGCGACAGATATTAACGGTAAAATCATTTCCCGCTACTGGTTGCAAATTCAGCCATCGGAGATAGCATGTCCTTCAGAAAGCAGATCGAAGGGGCAACATGCGGCGGGCACGACATGCATGTTCCACATCCACGGAGGCAGCAACAGATCAGACGCGCTGTTTGCGGTGCTGATGAGCCGACTCGGAGCCGCCGCCGCCGCGGACCGCTCGGAGTGGCGTGCCCTGACAGGCACGCAGCCCTCAGGCCGGCGGGCGCCATCAGCCCCGCTGCTGGCGGTGCGTGCTGCTCTGCCGCATCCGCGCACGCCCGGCGTGCAGCCAGCTCCGTGTCGGAGGGCCGCCGGCGCGTGCAGTGCTGTTTGTGTTTGGACGAGGCAGGCATCTGCCGGGTGCTGGTTCGTTGGCCTCTGATGACGTTTGCCGTGGCGCTTTCAAGCAGTTCGCGCCTCCCACAATCCGGAAAACACCACCACACGCGGTCAGGAACCAGGTTTCCTTGTCACCCCGGCGCAATATGCCGCACACCTCAGGTTTCTGGTCAGAATAGGAGTTCAAGTAGGCTGACATTGTAAGTTGCTGTGTGCATCTGCGAGGTACGTTATATATATATATATATATATATATATATATATATATATATAGATTGTGTGTGTGTGTGTGTGTGCGTGTGTGTGTGTGTGTGTGTGTGTGTGTGTGTGCGTGCGTGCGTGCGTGCGTGCGTGCGTGCGTGCGTGCGTGCGTGCGTGCGTGCGTGCGTGCGTGCGTGCGTGCGTGCGTGCGTGCGTGCGTGCGTGTGTGTGTGTGTGTGTGTGTGTGTGTGTGTACATGAATAACGCAATGCTTATTCGTCATAGAATGGAGAACGGAAAAATAAACCGAAACAACATCTAGCTTCGATAAACACGTGTAGCCGAATCATCAATACATCTATCTCTCAATTCTCCTGGTTATTCTATGACGAATAAGGCTATTAGTCTTTCGCTGGAGTCGTGTATGCTTTGGTCACATTGTCTTGCCGTAGCGAATGTATGACCAGCATGGCAGCAGCCGCACCAGCTCTCCTCAAACCATCCAAGCTTCAGCACTTCCTGAACGATGCTCCACCCAGTAGCTTAACCGCACCAACCATTCACGGCGCTCGCCACCCCTTTACGCGGGGGCGGACACTCGACATTTGCACCAGCAGACCTCAAACTATCTTCGGTCCTTCATTTCTCTACCAGATGCTGCCTATGTTCATTGTAATTCCGGTGTGCCGATCCACAGCGGAGTACAAATGACCTCCCCTGCTGACCTGCCGCCGCAACATCGAAGTGGCGCCCAAGTGCCTTCTCTCCGCCCAGACTGCACAATTCAGCCGCCTCGGAGAAAACAGCGCACTATTGCGACCCGGATATATTAGTGAAGAATATACGCGCACATTACCCCTCGCACCACGATCACCGCCACGCCGCACCCCGAACCAAGAACGGAGCAATAGCAGCGAATCGCAACGGACTCTTGAAAAACGCATTGTAGCCTTTAAACACACCCGCTGACCACATCTCATCCCCTTCCAGCGCTCCGACCACCGCGGGTGGGACGGCGACACACTTGTGGTGACGGTGCGGAGCGCGTGGCGCCATCGAGCAGCCGTTCGCCGAGCGGCAGTGGTCCTTAAAGAGCGGCTTCTACCTCTGATACAAGCGCGGAATGTCGGCCCCCCGGGGCCACCGCCGCCAGCCTCGTTTCATTCCTGTACGCGGGTGTCAGTCAGACCCCCAGTAAAAGGTCCACATCCCTGCCCCGGCCGTCTTTCTTCCCGGCACGAAGCGAACGTTCACGCTGTACAGCTTAAATCACCGCGGCTGCCGACGGGAAAATAATCTTTCGCAGCCACGTACTCACATAGCGACGGAAGCAGTAATCATTGCACAGAGTTCAAGCTAGTAATCGGAGCGGGGCTTGAAGCATTGCTCCACACGCACGGACCCAAAGCACGTCCATACAGTGCGCCACTGGCCCTGCACCAGCACCGTCGGCGCCTGGGGCCCGCTCCGTCCGCAGCAAGGTCGGGTCATCGCCCACTCCCACCTGCCCATTACACGAGACCGTGATCCTCGCCTCGAGGTCAGAGGGCGCAGGATCGCAGGCATGGACGGGTCCCGTCTCGAGCAGCGGCGGCCCGTCCCGGCGGGCTCGGACGGCCGTGCGAGAGCGGCGGCGGCGGGGCCGACTTGGCTGGGGGGACGGTGATGACGCTGGCGGGGCGGCTACTAGAACGGCACTGGTGGCAGGAACCGAGGGAAGCGGACAGAGGACTAGCGTAAGGACAGCTGATGGGAGGAGTACTGCGGGAATCTGAGGAAGGCTGCGGGAGCTCGGAGTCACTCTATACTCGTCACAGCGGATCCAGCGGATCCAGCGGCTCCAGCGGCACCAGCGACTCCGAAGGCTCCGGCGGCTCCGGCGGAACCAGCGAATCTAGCGACTCCGGAAGATCCAGTGGTTCCGGCGGCCCCAGCGACTCCGGCGGCCCCAGCGGCTCCGGCGGCCCCAGCGGCTCCAGTGGCTCCGGCAGCTCCGGCGGCCCCAGCGGCTCCAGCGGCTCCGGGGGCCGTTCCCGACGACCGGCAGGCCACCGCCAACACCAGACCCCCGCTTAGTCGAACGAGATGAGGGCGGGTGCGTCCGGTGTAGGGCCCGGACCCATCTGACCCTGCTCATCCTGAGGTCCCATCTGGCTGGGGTGGCCCTGGGGTCCCATCTGGCCGGGATGGCCCTGAGGTCCCGCCTGGCCGGGATGGCCCTGGGGTCCCATCTGACTGGGGTGGCCTTGGGGTCCCATTTGTCCTGGGTGGCCACCTGCGGGTCCCATCTGATTCGGGTGACCCTGCGGTCCCATCTGGCCTTGGTGCCCGCCCTGAGGTGCCATCTGACTCGGATGTCCCTGGGGAGCCATCTGACTATTGTGACCCTGGGGACCCATCTGACCTTGGTGTCCACCCTGGGGGCCCATCTGCACCTGAGACCCCGGTCCCATCTGACCGGGCTGCTGCATGGCGTGAGGTCCCGGCGGGCCCTGAGAATGCTGACCTTGGGGCCCACCCATCTGGCCCTGCATGGGACCCATCTGACCCTGACTCGGTCCGCCCTGCTCAGGTCCCATGGGTCCGTGACTCGGGCCCTGGTCGCTGCCCTGTGGGTAGCCATGAGGTGCCATTCCTGCCGGCAGACAACGCATGTCACCGGTAACGACAATCACGTTCGTGCAACAAAACCCGCATTCACGACGGATCACATTAAAGCTATAATGCCGATGACATTTCTTAGCTGTACGGTTGAGCACCACGGGATTAATTTAATTTTTATGATTACAGGATCAACGTGCATAATAAGCCGCAGCGAAAGATGAAAAAGCAAAAACACTTCGATGATGCATGGACGTTCCATTTGTCCGTTACGCCTTTTTCACAACATAGGAAAGCCCCAGACACTCTGTGCCGGGCAGTACATTTGACCTGTTCGCACGTCCTCACCAAGGTCCCAGAGCTATTCCTGCCCACGGAGTGTGGCGGCAGAGAGGGAGGGAAAAGAAGAAAGGGCTAGGGGGGGGGGGGGGGGCTCACCGTAGTGGGGGCCGGGCGGCGGACCGGGCAGCGCGGCCGACACCGACTGCATGTTGAAGGCCGAGTACGGCGGCGGCTGGTAGCCGCCGGTCGGCGGCGGTGGCCCGTACCCCTCGGCGGCGGTGGCGGCGCCGTACCCCTCCGGCGGGGGGCCGTACCCCTCAGCCGGGGCGCCGTACCCCTCCGGCGGGGGGCCGTACCCCTCGGCCGGGGCGCCGTACCCCTCCGGCGGGCCGTACCCTGCGGACGGGGGGCGGGTGCAGGTCAGAACGGGCCCACAGCCGGCAGGCAGCGGAGGGACGAGCATGACAGTGAACTCCAGCAGGGCGTGGGAAGACCGGCGCTCGGATGCATAACTGAGTGAAGACCTCGGACAACGCCGACTGACTCACATACATACATGAACACACGACTTTAAGGCAGAACCCTCCGGGCGCATCGGCCATCCGTACAACTGTCACTGTACCATGACCTTTGCACCTTTTAGATGAAAAAAATACACGTATTTAAGGCAAAATCCCCCTGGAGCATCGGCCTTCCCTGCCATTGCACCTGCACCATGACTTTTGCGCTCTTTCGAAGAACGATGAAATTTCGATACAATTCCAACGAAATTCCTAATTCGATGTCATTTGCACGTACGGAGCCTAATCTGCCCGCACGCCATCTGCAGGAGTAGGCCCTTTCTGCCTGCCACCATGTCTAAGCCGCCAGCTCCCACGTCGTGCACGGAGGGCCCGGGAGCCCCAGCAGGCACGCCTGCGGTCACCGACACACTCCACCCCAGCTCGGCTCCTCCAGCAGCTGACGGCACTGTGCGCCGACACCCTCTCAGACAGGAGGCTCGGCTCCACCAGCAGCCGATGCCACTGTGCGCCGACACCCTCTCAGACAGGAGGCTCGGCTCCACCAGCAGCCGATGCCACTGTGGACCAACACCTCCGACAGGAATGGCTCGCGCGAGGCATTGCTCCAGACAGGCGTGCGGCGCAGGGGCGGCGTCCTAACCTGCGCCACCTGGACCCAGGCGCCGCCGGCGCTGCGGCTGGTACGGGTGGACCACATGTACTGCTGATCGTGACGCCGCGCAATCTCCGCCTCCTGTCCGCATCCTCTGGAGCGCCAGCTGGCGCTGGTACGCCGGGGGAGGAGGGGCGGGTGTGACGCGGGGCGGCGGCGGGGCGCGCCAGGGAACGCGGGAGCCGCCACAACGCAGCGCCCACGGGACTGCCGCCGCGGAAGCCGACAGAACTCCCACTGGGGCGGGAAGTAGTCCAGCCGAGTGAAAACGTGCAGGGTTTTGGATGGATCACAGTACTCCAGCTTGTTGACTTCAGAGACTGTGACACAGACGTCAAGTACCCTCCATGGAAACACCGCGGTCACGTGACCTGTGAACGGATATCACGTGACATGCATGCTCCGGACGCCGAAGTCAGCAGCAGATGCTTGTTTGGCGTTTCAAAGTTTGAAATAGCCTTTCCAGTGCCTGTAACCCTGACCTTCGACGACCGACGATGGCTGAAGGTCACAATAACACACACCCTCACGTCCTCAACAGCATCGCGTCCCGCGTCCGGCCGCCACCAGCCGCGCTGCCGCCCGGCCGCCTACCTGCAGGTACTCCTGCTTCTTCTTGCGCATGATCTCCAGCTTCTGCATCATCTGCATCTGACGGTGGCGCTGCGCCTCCTCCGCCTCGCGCCGCAGCCGGTCGCGGTGCTCCTCGCGCAGGGCGTCCAGGGCGGCGCGAGCGTCCCGCGCCTGGGCCAGCTGGTCCTGCAGGCCCTCGTAGTGCACTGCCGGCGGGCGGGGACTGGCGTCAGGCGTGCTGCTTGGCCAAGACGCGACCGCCTTCTGCTCTTTAGAGCGGCACGTAGCCCACGGCGTTCCCAGCATGGGAACCGTGCTGCGAACACCGTGGGTCACGTGCTTTTCTACGTGTCGTGGGCTACGCCGTGAGCTGCTTTTCGATACAAGTCCACGGAGCTCGCAGTGGATTCGTATAGAAAAGCATGAGGCTCAGGCTGTGCACGGGAGCGTACGTCCCGGCGCAGTCGCCGACGGACGGCGCGGCGGCAGACTCTCGCTGACCGACCAGGCAGACTGAGGCCGCCGCGGCCGCCCACGCCCCGCCGCCCCCTCACCGCGCTGGTCGTCCTGCAGCTGGATGTTCTGCAGCAGCTGGGAGTGCATGGCCGTCACGTTCATGAAGAGCGTCTGCACCGACGAGTCGTTGGCGATGGGCCGGCCGCGGGACGAGTTGGACTTCATGCGGTTGACGAAGATCTCCAGCTGCGAGCAGATGGTCGCCACGAACTGGTCCAGCTGCTGGTCAGCTGCGCCGTTCTGGAACGTCTGCGGCGCGGGGGCAAGGGGCGTCAGCAGCACGTGCAGACCGCGAGCGCAGGTGTTCTGGCGGTGGCTGAGATCAGCGATTTGACATGACCATGAGGTGGCATGCCCAAGTGGAAAGAAGTGCTCGGGTCGTGAGGGTACACGTCCAGGCCGTGAGGGACACGTCCAGGCCGTGAGGGGGCACGTCCAGGCCGTGAGGGGACACGTCCAGGCCGTGAGGGACACGTCCTCCGTGAGGGGGACACGGCCTTCGTAAAGAGGACACGACCTGACCGTTGACCCAGACCACAAACCAGACTAGCCGCATGCAGGCCTGACACGTGAAATCCTGCCGGAGACGGCTCTTGGTGATGGTGCTGTGTTGGGATCATCACCAGCTTTACGGTGAAAACAACTGCTTTGAGGCGCTAAAGGCACAATGCGTTGAAAGTGCCTATGGCATTAAAACGGCGGAATTTCCGGCAGAAAATCAAAGTAGACGCATGCCAGCCATCAAACCGAGCAAGGGACACACTCGGCGCGTTTCAGAACATGGTCCACATCGTTTAAATGTTTAAAGATGCAGCTCGCAAGTCACGCTCTACAATTCAACGCGTGCCAAGACTACCGCCGTGAAACGGCAGGCGTCTCCGCCGTCAGCCCTTACCATCGCTGCGGGATACGGCGCTGCTGGAGACTGAGGATGGAGACTGAGGTCTAATGACTGTCCGCGCAGCTCAGTGATGGGCCCAACAATGGGCCGCGCCGAAGATAGCGGCTTATCTAATCAGATTCACAGGGATCTCGCCGTTGAATCGCACACGTCACGATCGCGACAGGACTCCTCGCCAATAATGAAACATAACAGAGGAATCAGTACACGCCCGCCAGCCAGATGAGTCGTTCATGGCAGGGCGGTCCAGCAAGCTGACAGAACATACCGTTGGTAGGCAGATGAAGCTGCAAATAATGTTACGAATGTTCCGTTGATGCTGTGCCGAGAGCACAACCACTGTATTTCGTATCACAATGCCGGTGGCGTCCCTGGACTGCTCAACATTCTTTTGAGTCGGAATCCACTCAAGAGCACACGGCCGTTTTCTCAGGCCGGGGTGGAATCACTTCGAACTGTAGCCGTGACAGGGGTTTCTGTAGGTGCCCTCTACTGTTCGGAGCCGACTTTTGAGTCGGTGTCAGTGGTTCCTCCGCGTACCCTTGTGACAACCACGTGATCTCATGGCCCGTGTGATAGCTATCAGTACCGCGTCTCTCTGGCCGCGGTAGCATGGGCACGTCTAAGAACACACGTACGCTATCTGTTTACCTGTTCAGTAAGGTAAGGGCGTATGAAGGCCGCCGGGGTCAGTAACGGCGTATGTACGTTACTTATCCATCTCATTATCCGGACAGCCTCATCCAAAGGCGAGTGCGCGCGCGCATGCGCCTCACCTCCACCGCGCCTGTCGGTACACTCAGCCACAGCGGGCGCACGCACCCCACGCGCCTGCGCGTCACCACCTCGTGCAGCGTCGCCGGAGGCACGCTCGGTGACAGCCGGGGCACGCGCGTACCTGCGTGACCACCTTGTAGGGCGCCTCGGCGACGGCGGGCGCCGTGGTGACCGGCGCCGAGACGGCCGGCGCCGACACGGAGGCGGCCGGGGCGGGCGCCGTGGGCGACTGCGGCGCCTCCTGGCGGGACTCCCAGTAAGAGCGGTTGAGGTAGCGCGCCAGCTCCGGGTCGGCTTGCGGGTCGCGCTCGGACGGCGCCTCGCCGCGCTGAAACGGCGCGGCGACACCCGCTGTGGTGACGGCCGTCACGCGGGCGCTCGGCGGGCGGGTGCTCGCCGCTACAGCGCGGCGCGACACTGCACAGCCGCGGACGGCGACGGCCGGGACAGGGCCGCCGACGGCGCCTCGAGTGGTGCGTCAGGCACCCGACAGAGCTAAACTGGGGAGGCGGGGAGGCGGAGGGGGGGGGGGGGGGGGCAGCGACGACGCCCGGCACGAGACACCCTGCCGCTGGCCGTGCACTGGCCGTCCCCGACGTCACCGGCACGGGGGGGGGGGGGGGGACCCACCGGGACCCAGCTCGCGTCAACACAAAAGCATCACGCCCCTCCCCCGCCCTAACGACGTCAGCACACCACACGGCTTAACGCTGAGCTTACGACGTCCGTCGGCAAGCACGTGTTCATGCACCGCGGTCCCATCAGTGATAAGCACATGACACATGGGCTTCAAAGGCATGGGTTCATAGGCCGCGGGTTCCTGGCGCACTGTCTCACAGGAATGGCTCTATGGGCTCCACCACGACCTGCTGAGCGCAGCGGCACGCAGGTGGAGGGGCGCGGGTCGGCCGGCGGCTGCTTACCTTCATGGCCGACTTGAGCGCGCCGCCCGCCGCGCCTGACGAGCTGGCCGGCGAGCTGCGGCCGCCGTACGAGCGGCCGGCGCCGCGTGCCTTCTGCCGACGCACGACCGCTGGTCAGACGCCGGGCCGCGGCCGGGGGCGGCGTCGCGCCAGGGCGCGCGGGCCACGCGCAGCGGCACGCGGCGGCGGCGCCGGACAGGAGACGCGCAAAACAGCTCCGCCTCGCCGTGCTACTTTTATCAAAACGCTCCAACATGAGTGACGCGAAGGCGACTTTGCGGACAGGTGGCGCCCGCGCCGCTGCCTCACGTTCAGTATGTGGGGCATTCAAATCAAATCCAAAACACATCCCCGGGTAATTTCATATCCAAAGGGACAAACAGTGACTGCACAGTACCTAGAAATGGCACCATGTTTAACAACAGACGGCTGGACGCATGGCTGGTGATGCAGTCAGCCCTCTAAAGACGCCACAACACTTGCATCCCACCAGACTTAAGAGAGCGCGTGCCCGTTACGTGCGGACACGGACCGGGAACAGCTGCCCGAAAGCAGGGTTACGGGGACGACCCACCAACAGCGCAGCCCGACCAGGCCAGAGTGACGGCATGACCAGCAGAGCAGATCGGCCTCGGCTGGGCCTCCCCGCAGCGGAGCCCTGCGGGCCGGAGTACGGCCCGGTCTCCCCCGCGGTGAAGGCCCGCGGGCCGGGGCACGGCTCACCTCCTTGGCGGCGTCGGCCTCCGACTGGGAGATGGCCAGCGCCAGGTTCAGCTCCTCCTCCTCCTTCAGCTCCTCATCCGTCTTGCGCGGTGGCGGCGCCTGCCACCACGCCCCCAAGTCAACAGGGCAGTGGGTTTGGAGCCAAAGGTCATCACGTCCACGTCAACACGGCTAAAGTGAGCAAACCTGATAGGCATCATGCCTGGAGTCGTCAGGCATGTTGGCAATCAGCAGGTTGGCGGCTGTCCTGGGTTAAACGGATCGTCACTTTCGAAATCAGCAGGTGAATAGACCTGAATCCAACATGTTAGTCACAAATCTGGAGGTCAGCAGGTTTGCCGACACGTTCACGATTCTGAAGTCAACAGGTCGAGCTCTGGGTGGAACATGCCGTCGGTTCCGAAGCCAGCAAACAATCGGCGCCACAGTCAACACGATTTATATCAGCAGAACACGAGGTCTAACGGCCTCACGTCAACCGACCAACAGATCTGAACTTAGCAGACCATTCAGAAACAGCTCGCCGGGTCAGAGCGCACCAGTGTTCCCCGCCGCGACTGAGGCGACGCCTAGCGCCGCTCCCACTGCTTGGGCCTCCCCGCGACTGCTTGTTTTACCACTGCTTGTTTTACCTGCGACTGCTTGGAAAGCGGGCTAGCCAGGTACTCCGGAGGCAGGTCAGAGTCGGCGCCCGAGGACGACGACGACGGCTTGCCCTTCGGCGGCTGCCCGGCGGACGGCCTGAGGGAGAGCAAGAGCCTGCTACAAGCGGCCACTAAAACACAGTCCTCCGTCGTCAGCGACACGTGAAACGGTCGACATCTCACAGGATTATATACGCTTCATTAGGACCAATGGCCAATGACCACTATTGAAATACATGCGCCTGCCCTGCCATGCACGTTTGCAACTGTCTACAACTGACGGCCCGCAGAAGCAGGTGACCTCTGACAGTCACCCTCCCCCTCGGCTGGCCCGCCAGGCCGCCACTGCGGAGCCGCCGCCCGCCGCGGGGCAGCGAGGCTGCGGCGACCGGTCCCACCTGTTGATCTGGTCGAAGCACGGGTCACAGACGCGCACGTCGCGCTCAATGCCGAACTTGGGGATGTTGGACGTCTTGCTGGAGCACTTGCCGCAGAACACCTGACCGCAGGCGCGGCAGTGGTGCTGCGCAGAGGGATGGAGAGACGAGTGAGGGATGCGCGAGCGGTGGCAGCGGGCGGCAGGGCTCACCACACCGGCTTCGACTTCAGCTGCGGCGGCCCAGTTTGCGGCAAGCGAGTGGTGCGAGTGGACCGACATACGCCCGATGATCACGCTCCGGAGGAAAGCAGGCTCTTCGCAAGACTTCAGACTCCACGTTGCCACACAACACCTGACGCCGGGAACCGGCACAAACGATGTGACGCTCGTGCTTGATGTGCCCCTAGTCCGCATACATGTGGGGAATAGCAGTGCCTCCGTCCCATCCCTCCCCTCCCCTCCCGCGTTGCGGGAATAACTTCCCAGCCGTTTCAGGTAAGTCCACGAAGTTTTCAACCTTCCTGTAGCACAAAGACAAAGCTTGTTCATGGTCAGCGTTAAGATAACATCGGTGTAGCCTTGCATGTCTATCTCCCTGTTACAGGCAGCAAGTTGCAGTTCCCGTTCGTGTTCTGGGTTGTCTTGATTTAGCTGGTACCTTTGACTGGTTAAACTCGTTAGCAGTGGTTATCGAATACGAGATCGCACCAGTCGACCCGCAGAGCTCATGTCAAATCACTGTTCAAGCATAAAAAGACAGATTTTAACTGCCGTTTTTATCACTACGCCGGCATAGCTAGCACATCTCTACATCAGTGACAACTTCGTACAAGTTATTTAAACCGTAAGAGCAGATAACTAAGTCGAATGACCTGACCTTAACCCACTCCTTCCTTTGTCGACATGAGGGCACAATTATAAAAAAACACAAACACGAAAACAACGAAAAACAAGACACTTGCAGTTTCATGTGGTGCCAGTCGCCAAGCTATACAACCAATTCGACGGGGCTGGAGCGCATTTAAGACTTACGAAAATGTTAATGACTGTTCGTTTTTAAAACATACGCGACGCAATTCGACGAGGTAAATATTTCAAATTGTCAATGGTCGACCGAGATTAAGCTGCCCTTTCAACTACTCTCTCAATCTTTCGATCCGACGGCTAGATCCAAAGACAGCAGGTTGGTACTCGCCAGGCGGTGACCGCTGGTGAAGCACCCCTGGCGGAGCCGCCACCCCGTGCTCGTCACCACCGCCTAGTAACGGGCCGCAACACCAACCACATGGGTGCTGACCGCGTCACGGTACAGGTCCGTCGGACCACGCTGCTCTGGTGAAGGTGGTGACGGCACCATCGGTCGCGGCGCCAGCCTGCACGGGCCATACCTTTCTGGTGAAGGTGGTGAAGGCGTCGCGGCAGCGGTGCCAGCCTGCACGGGCCGTACCTTTCTGGTGAAGGTGGTGAAGGCGTCGCGGCAGCGGCGCCAGCCTGCACGGGCCGTACCTTTCTGGTGAAGGTGGTGAAGGCGTCGCGGCAGCGGTTGCAGACCTCGCCATCGGCCCACTCCGGCGCCGTCTCGGCCGAGAACATGGCCTCGGACACACGCAGCGCCGGAAACTTGAACCCCTCCTGGCGCATACCGTTGACCGTGTCCTGCGGCGGCGCCGGCGGCGGGCGTCAGTCTAGGGGAGTGGAAGCCATCGCTTCGGCTCGCCTCGACCGGGGGAGGCTGTTCACGCCCCGGCGCCGGGTGTCACGCCCCGGCGCCGGGTGTCACGCCCCGGCGCCGGGTGTCACGCCCCGGTGCCGGGTGTCACGCCACGGCGCCGGGTGTCACGCCCCGGTGCCGGGTGTCCTGACGGGCTCCCGCACCCCGGCCGCACCCATCTCGTTCGAAAACGGAGAACGCGCGGATGTGGTACCGCTGCTCTAGACGAAGCAAGCCGTGACACCTCTAGACACGTCACGGGAACGACGTTAGCTTGCGATGTCGCCGGGGGCACACTCCTCGCGTGCTGCCGTTCCCGTTCCGAGCACAGCGCTGAAGACACCCGCAGAGCTCGCCATGATGCCCGACGTATGCCGACACAACAAAGAACATTGCACAACACAGCACTCATACCGACAGCGCTCACCACAACAACGGCCCAACCCCTGCATGACGCAGAGAAGAACATAACACAATGGCGCCGGGGACAGCGGTTAATGTGACGCATCCGCAATGCCCGCGTGACATGACACGGCGGTGGCATCTCAAACATTACTTGCCGAGACACTTCCCGATAACCATACAACAGAACAGCAAACGTAAACAGCAAACATAACGGTACTGAAACAAAAGGATGACATCTCAGGGCTCACCGTGCCAGCTCCTCAATCCTCACACGACCAACAGCAGAACCACAACATTCCATGCACACCTCAGCGGCCCGCCGTCACGTTTCCCCCAGCCCCAGCTCGACAGCTCGACTCCCACAGCGCACAGCACAACACTGACACTGTAGACAGGCCGCGCCGTGGCACCTCCCAGTCCCCACACCCACACGGGCACGTGCGCAGAGTGGGGCCGACCGCGCACGGCAGAGCCCGCGCAAGCACAGCGCCGCCGCCTCGCCGCCGCCGCCTCACGCGGCTGGGCAGAGCGAGAGCGCGGCCCCCACACGCTCCGGCAGGGAAGCCCCACGCGCGCCGGGCCGCGTCTAATCGACCCCGGCGGCAGCGGGAGGCGAGGGCATTATGCTTACGAAGCCCTAGTGACGTCATGACAGAAACGGCCGCACGTCACAGTCAGGACATGAGTCACAATCTGGTGTGTTTGCGATACCACCGGCACAGTTGCTTGAAGCGAGTCATCATAGTGCGAGATCCGTTCCACGGCATGACTGGAGCATGGCATGACATGGCGTGAATGAAATCAGGCATAGCCTAAAGAAGTCCCATTCTAAGAAACAGACAGTTCATTCGCCTTCACCAGTAAATCTGTTGTGCGACCTGTACAGAAAACTCCAGCGGCTATTGAAACACAAACACGGTGGTCCGTGGCAGACGCTGCCGGTGTCGTAAACGGGGCTAACGTAAACAAGCGGATTAAAGCTCTGGACAGCCTCATCCATGTAATAATGAACTCCAAAGGCCAATATATAATTTGCATGTCCCTTGATGCGCTTCAGGCACTCAGCCTTTACCGTTTTTATAGTGTATCATCGACGGTAAAATGCAACGCCAAGAAGCCTAGTCTCATTACAGACTGAAACAGTTAAACCGCAAAGTCGCAACTCAGGACATTTACCATCTCAGGTCGTGAACAGAGGTTTATGAATTTGGTTTTGGAGGTCAAAATTTCCAAAAGATTCTCCAGACTTGACCCGCTCAGTCGCTTCAGGCACAGCCAAATCCGTCCGAAGATGTCATCGTTGACGCTGCACACCAGATGGCAAAGTCATCCACAAACAGGGATCGACTTATGGTGGGTAGTAGACATTCAGCTGTATCATCTATCAACAGAGCAAAAAGACTTGCACTAAGCACGCTCCCTTGAGAAAAACCGTTCTCTGGTCGCAGCGGTCCGACAATATACCACCCACTGGAACCCCAAAAAATCTGTAACAAGTGTTGAATGAAGTGTTAGAAAGCCGTAAGGACGAAACGTGTGCACCCTGGGAAGAAGGCGGTATCGTGGAAGCGGTACGTTGCCAGGCGGTATCGTACGCCCGCTCCAGATCAACGACTAGCGACCGGATAAAGTCTTCGTTTGGGAGTGTCCTATGGCTGTATCCAAACCCGTTACGATGCCGACAGAGCATCGGCTGTTTCAAAACCTACCATGGGCATTCGAAACACGCCTGTGAGTCTTAAGATACCACATTAGACAGCTGTTGACCCTTCTCTGAAGTAGTCCGCTCATGGACGAAGCCCACGAAATCGGACAGTAATGAAATGGGTCGGAAGTGGAACCATCCTTTCCTGGTATCACACTTGGGATTATGGCTGCCTCCCGTCATGAATCCAGGGAGTAATAACCCATCGATATAAAGTTGAATGGCTCGAACAGTTGCTTCCAAGGATTCCTTTTTAGTCGGTTCAACGGTCGCATGCGGGACCGGGTGCGAGCATCACCGCTAGCTAACCTGCACGGCGCGGTACTTGGTCGACTGACGGAATACGTGCGCCCAGGTCTGCAGCAGCTCCAGCAGCTTCTCCTTGACGATGTCGGGCGCCTTCACCGCCAGCTCTCGCATCTCCAGCATGAAAGGGAACTGACCCACCTGGCGGAAGCGAGTGGCCACCAGGTCACAACCCCGTCCGCTGTGTGCTAAAGAGGTGCTCTTCGGCATGTACGGCCCAGCCACGCCCGGAAGGTAACACCAACGACGCACCACTGCGCTCGCACGCAGGGACAGGCCGCCTCCAAGCAAGGCGCCGACGTCAACGCATCCGACTCAAAACCCGCGGACGAGAGTGAGAAATGTTAAGACTTTGCCACTGGCAGAACATGGTATTCAGCACTAAACACATTGAATTTCAGTACCATACTGAATATGATACTGGTGCTGAATTTTTGGTACCAGCGTCGACCAACTTTGACTGGCCTAACCCACAGCTGCAGCATTGGGGGCTTTGTCAGCATGGGAAACACCAAAAAACAATGTTGCACAGGTAACCCACATTGCCGCATGTTAGCAGGACTAATGGCAGCCAGGCCACGAGCTGGCAGTGGCCATGCCTGCCACCTAAGGCAGCCAGAGCCACCAGCCATCCTGCCCTGCACTGACTGACCCACCTCATCATGGACTGGTGCACCACAGTTCTTCATCATGGCCTCCAGCACACAGAGGGCATACACGGCCACATGCGGGTTCTCATGATAGAGCTTCTTCTTGACAGCCAGCACAGCATACTTGGCTCTGGCAATAATGGTGAATACTGTTACTGTCACCTAGATGGGGTACATGAAGACTGCAGGGATTAGGTGAATTAAATTATTGGTCACATGGAAAAAAATGGTCACAATGCTCTTTACCATCTGCAGCAAGAATACTCTTGCAAATGTCTGAGACTTCATTGCTATGCATGAGGTGCCAAGCCACACACAACAAAGCTGGACAAATATGGTTCAATATATTTGCCTTGCCGGGGTGTTGCTTCTTATTCTGTTGGGGGAGGGGGCTCCAGCCCCACTTCCAACTGAGTTAAAGCGATTCAAAAAGGCTTCAGCCCTTCTCCCAACTGAGGCAAAAAAGATGATTGAATAAGCAGAGAATCAAAAAAGGAAGAAGAAAGAACAAATCACTGCAAAACATGTGCCAAATATGGTGAACACCCATTTGATGGTAAATTTTTGGGGCACATTTCATGTTTGTTGGTTCAGCCTCCCCACCCCACTCACTCTTCAAAACTATGCTCTTGTTTCCTTGCATAAAGATATCACAACTATGCAGGACACTGATCTCGCACTATGAAATTCCCGGCAGGTCTCCCTGAAGCACATGTTGCAGCACATGAAGCACATGAAGCACAAGCACATGGTCATGAGTGCAAAGGAGCAGTGACTCACTGCACATCACCCTGTCGGATGGTGTCACAGATGGCCAGGTTGGCTGACCAGTCAGGCTCCAGCAGCAGGTGGCTGGTGGCTTTCTCTGCAATATACAAGGCAGAACACCTTGCAATCCCCAGGCAGCTGTCATATTTAACTCTTGACAATTGACCCTGCTTGAATTACTTGGCAACCCCTGTTATGCCTAGCACATAAAGTGCAACAGGTACTTTTACAACCAATTTATCACCACTGCTTTGTCCTGCATGAGCTCATGTTTAGGCCACTATTGCACTACATCTGCAAATGGTGGCACAAGTGGTACAAGATGCTGACTTCAGTATGCTACCTGTGTGTTGTCCAGATCAAAAAATGCATGAAACATATCTAGCATGGCAGCGACATCCATACAACTGCAGAGCGAGTAAATATAATAGCCTTAAGTTTGATGCAAGCTTGTCGCTAGTTTTATCATATAAACACAATACTTCAACAAATTCTGATGTTAAGGCATTCAATGAGGAACAATTTTTTTCCAATTTTAAAATTCAGTGCAGTTTGGCATTACCTCAGTTAAATGCATGCATGCTCCAGGTGCAGCACAAGGACATCACAAAGCATTTGACACAGTAGACAAATTATTGGAAGTTTGATATGATGCAGAGATGACGGCTTATAAAAAACCTACTTGGGACTTATGCACAACATGACAGAAAACTATCACACTGACAATAGTACAGCCAATAAAATGGTTCGTGAACCTACCCAAGAGCTTATCAAAGGTTGCCGATGATGATCTCAACATCCTCGCTTAGCTCAGTCGGCTCCTGTACTGCAGCACTATACGTAAGCGCGTTTTTCGTAAGCGGCCTCAACAGGCAAGGGATCGTTAAATCTGAAAGTATGATTTAGAAAGACACCGACAGGCCCCTTAACATCAAAATTCGCCACCTAACCACAACATCAAACGCAGTGACCCAAACCCCGCAATACCACACGACCATCGCCATATCCCATACGTAGCGATGCATAAAGACAACCCATGTATATCTTTAGATTTCGCTCTCTCTATGTTTCGTTCATTCAACAAAATAAGAGAATAAAATTTCTAAAAACATTATTATGAAATTTTATAACATTTTCTGACACATATTCTATTCAGTTTTTGGTGAGATCTGACTATCCCAAAGAGCCCTCCAGGGGCGCTGTTGACTCCATAGCAATGGCTGTCATGGTGATAAAAGTACTCAATAATCTAGCCGTATATGACGCAGCTGCTACGTAAGCGGCGAATGAGTAAAAAGTACCAAATTTTCGATAAGGTAAAGGAATTTAACACATCAATTTGTATGCGAAATATTGAACGCTCAGTAGAATATGATTCGAATTTAAATATCAGGGAGGCATTCAAGAAATTCCCCTTAATTTATAGCTCGCAATCTATTTCATTTCCGTAAGGCTGTTCAAGAATCCTACTGTTTGTAGCGGATACCAAATAGTAAACAAAAGAAAGACGGCTGAATTGCGTAATGTTTCAAAACCATCTGCCTTTGTAAACAGTGCGAATAGTGCAGCTGTTGTACGGGGTTTGAGGTTGGGGTGGTTGCCAGTCTGGGTGAGATGAATTTAGTTTGTTTTAGCTGAATGGTTGTATGTCTATGATAAGGTAACAGGCTTGACAAAGAGCCGTGAGTTGTTGGCGGGCGTCCTTATGACGTTTCAGCTGCAAATGTAGGGTGCTTCTCAGTATTGTTTTGGATAGGTAACATCTTGCTGCACCCCACAAACAACTCGCCAAAATGAATCCTGTGGGTGTAGGGGATGACCAGCCAACTGTAAGTGCTGGAATGGCAAAAGTGCGTTTTGTCAACTTCAACCAAGACTACAGGTGAGAATTTTCTGTTTCTGTTTGGTGTTGCATGTATTGACCAGTTAACCATGTTCCACTGTCTGAAGCTTTTATTTGCTCTTTCATGTAATTGGAGGCAGTAGCAGATGAAAAAGGACCATTGACCTTGTTATGGAGACATATTTCATGGTCTATGTAATCATGACCAAAAGTGGGTTAAAGTGACCAAGTCGCATAAAGCCATAGGTTCTGGGTCAAGTAATCAGGGGTGTACTCCCTGCTGCAAAAACTTTTGTCCAGGTTCATTGAATTCTGCATTCTCATGCTGTGAGATGTTGTTGCACTGATTTGAACAGCTATTTTTAAAGTTAATTCCTAGTGAAGTTCAAGGTCAGCCTTTGTTGTTTGTGATATTTTTTTGCATGGTATGCAATGGGCCCAGACATTGCCTCTGCTGCAGCATATACAAATTTGATAAGTCACAATGCTGGATTTAACCTCTGACTACATGCTGCAAGCGTTTTGCCTATGTCAACTATCTACTTAGTCAGTTGTATATCAAGGTCACTCTTGGTTATTGGCATATGATAACTTTTCATGGCTGATGTTACTTGCAGTTAAGGTACAGGCATCATCAAGTCTAAACACAACAAGAAATGAATGTCATCATTGACAATGTTGTGTAGAAAAGGAGCAAACATAAACATAGCCATTTGAGAACACATTGCTAGCAGAGGCCAAATATAACCTGAGTTATATGCACATGGCCTAGGTAAAGCTGTGAAAGGCTGTGAAAATAGCATGACCTTGACCATAAAATTTTGTACTTTTTTCTTAAATTGATATGGGCTCAGATAAGAAAAGTAGGAGAAAGATTGCGCAAGGTGGTCCGCAGGTACTCATTGAAAAAAAGTGCCAGGCAATGGTTTGTCCCAAACAGTGCAAGGATACCTTGCATTGGTACCAGCAAACAGGATTAATGCTGGCTGTGTAAATTTTTAAAAAGCTTGGAAATTGCATGCATCCTCTTGAGTTTTTGAGGTTCTGAGGCTGGGTTTGTTGTCTATTTCAAAGAATGCTACTTATTTGAATGCATTTTTCTTATGTTCAGCATGTTGGACTGGCTCTCAGTTGCCTTGCTGGTTGTGGGTGGATTACTATTTTGTTGATAATCAACAATAAATAATTGATTGTTAAATACACCTGTTGTGATCACTTAGTCATGTCACATGTGCATTGGTATGAAGCAGTGAACATTGCAAAAGGAGGAGGTGAACACATTTTGCTGGTGCATTTTATCCATGTACCCTCATTCTATCATTGTGATTTTACCCACATATATTCACTTTACCATCATTATTTTATTCATGCATCTTTCCACAATTAATCAAAATGTTTCTCAACTGGCTGGGAACCATCTCTGGTTGACCTTTTCCCAGTGTTTTCTTACAGGCTTGTGAAACCCATGCTGGTTTTGGATATAGAGAAAGACAATCAGTAATAGCCTGGACAAATTCAGACATGCTACCTTCAAGCTATAAAGCTACCTACAAGGTACAAAATCAGACAAAATTAGATAAGCTACCAATAACAGCTGAGGGCGAGGGTTCATAACCACCTTATCCCCAGGTTTTTTCTAAATTAACATGTGAAGCCCCCTAATGTTTGCTCCATAAACCAATAGTATGGCAATGTCCCTTACAATGTTTCCAAGGGTCTTTCTCTATCAGAATCAATGCACATTGCATCCCTCTCTTTTGCTGTTGTGAGCATTGTGCATCTATAATATTTCACCAGTTGTGGACATTAATTTAGGGTCAAGACATTGGTAATGTGCTGTCTAAGCTCTGTTTTTGTCAACTGAGCATAACCATATTCAGCAAGCCTAATGTGGTATTGGACCCAGATTTCTTGTTGGCAAAGGTGACAAATTTCTTGAAAAATTTCCAGAAGTTTGCCTGAATGGTATTCATGCAATGTTCATTGATACAAAATTGATGTTACTTACACATTATGTAGTGCAGTGACTGTGGATACTATTCAGTTGCCTTGATTTGGTGCTGCTGAGTTGCCTTGATTTGGTGCTGCTCTTCTTGCTGCATGTTCAATCATTTGTGTAGGCTGTGACTGATATGATGGTGATCTGCCAAGCATGTTTGCACCATGTTAAGATGTGCAAAGCCTTCCTCATTAGATGTGACCTGTCATGTGACAGAGTGGAGGTTGTGACAGGTTTTTGTGTGTTTCAGCTCACTAGCAGTGGGGACCCACATTGGGTACAGGCTGTTCACTATCAATAGCATTGACAAGATTGAACAAATCTATGAAGTTGGTAAGTACCTGAATAAAGCTGTCATTCCTTAGTGGAATTGTCTTCCATGGTGAGCAATAAAATGGTGAGCCCATCACATCGCAAGAGCATTAACATGTGGTTTAGTAATGCCATGATGATGATGCTGGGATAAAGATACTGCATACAAAATCTGTCCCTCCCAGGTTGTGAACTAAGTGCAGTGTCTCTGCAGATGGATGGCCTGGCAAGATTGGAACATGGAGAGAATTGAGCCCAGCTGTTTTGCTCCCTAGCATGTGGTTATCGATTAGCGCGACATGTCAACCATGGTGACGTGTACCCCGAGCCGACGCCCGTTGGCTGTTAGAGGTGGCGCCGGAGCCGGCGGCCTCGCGGAGCGGCGGCCGGGGCGAAGGGATGGAGGACAGGAAGGGATGGTGCAAGGTGGAGAGAACATAAAGGGATGGGGATGGAAGTACAAGGGCAAACAAAATGAGAAGAATGGAGGACGAAGTCTGTTGTGGCACGCTGGCATTTTGTAGAACATTCCGCCTGTTGTGTTGCGTGACCTTCCTGTGCCCATCCTCGCCACCTCATGACCCCCATCCCCCCCCCCCCCGGCAGAGATCGGTGACGTGCTGATCGTGGAGCGGCTCTTCTCTAGCAGCCTGGTGACCCTGGTGACCCAGGCGCTGCCGCGCCGGCTGCAGGTGTGCCACTTCAAGAAGGGCACCAAGGTCTGCGAGTACGACTACACCAACACCATCGTCGCCGTTCGGCTAAACAGGGCGGTGAGCAGCTGACTGGCTGACGTCACAGGGTAGCTTCGAACCCCTGGTTGACGTCATAGGGTAACTTTGAGCCCCGGTGACGCAATTGTGGGCGTTATAAAACTGAGGGTTCAGAGCAGTTTGAGATTTGAATGCTGGTATAGGTGGATTGGGATTCGAGATTCGAATGTATTTCGATAGACGTGAATCTGTGCATCTGAATATGAAACCAATGGCATGTTATTTAAAGAATAAGTGGTCCTGTTCATACAGAAAGAACTGTTGGCTTTAATTTATTTGAAATAAATGCATACGCTGTGTAATATATAGTGCATTAAAATGCATATTTAAATTATTGTATTAGGATTCCATGCGGTCATTAGGACTCCAATCCAGATTTTCAAGGCTCGCATCCTCATTTTACGGTCGAAAATTAGCGAGGTTTGAAGCGTGCAATTCGAATCCTTAGTTGAAGTGTCTGCGTGGTGAACCGTCGTTTTTAGAAGTGATCTGTGGCATCGACGTAGTTTTGGATTCGGCTGTCATCTGGAGTAGTGTGACCTGTTTAATTATGCTGTTTTATGCCCTGAGCGTTTTAGAACAGATTGTTGGATTCCTCGCTGCGGTCGATGGTTTTACCGCCTTTCCCAGACATTCACATGCGTGTTGTTTGGTGAGCCTGAAAACACAGTCGCAGCCTGCCGTATCACGTTGGGGGTCATTTCCAAGTGCCCGCTCCTCATATCGCCGGTTGAAAAAGAGCTTCCCCGGCGATCCGAACGGCTGCCGTTAGTGCATGCAGGCAGCCGAACGTGTCGAGCCCGTCCACTTGTCTGTCCGCCGCGTAACGCCACGTGACACCGCTGGCGTGCACGGCAGCGTCTGGTGGTGTGCCTGGAGGAGTCGCTGTACATCCACAACATCCGCGACATGAAGCTGATCCACACCATCCGCGACACGCCGGCCAACCCGCGCGGCGTCTGCGCGCTCAGCGTCAACAGCGACTACTGCTACCTGGCCTACCCGGGCAGCGCCAGCATCGGCGAGCTGCAGGTGTTCGACGCGCTCAACCTGGTCAGTGGCGGCGGCGGCGAGCGTCAGAGGGCGGCGCGACGGTCATGCGACGCTTGGTAAAGGGGGAAGTGGCAAGCATGGACACGGGTGCACGGGGCAGGCGCTAGTGTTGTCTGCCCGCGAGCAAAGGCGCCCTCTCGGGGATGGCTCGGGTCAGGGCTGGAGCCGCCGCACACGCTACTGTGACCTCGATATGACCGGGTATGACCCTCGCCCCCGGAACCAAGACCGAGTATGACCCCCGACCACCAAACTTGGAGTGGGCCGCCGCCTCGCACGCTCACTGGCGCCGCTGTTGGCAGCAAGCCAAGACGATGCTGCCGGCGCACGACTCGCCGGTGGCGGCGGTGGCCTTCAACGCCGGCGGCACGCAGGTGGCCACCGCCTCCGAGAAGGGCACTGTCATCAGGGTCTTCAACATCAAGGACGGGTCCAAGGTCAGTCGGAGCGAGGCGTGGCCTGGGTGGCCCGCGTCACGGAGGGTGGAGCGTGATGCCCCGACGGGCCTCTGCTCTCCGGCCGCCTCTTCACTGATCTGTCATGGTTGTATCCATCTATCCGTCTTTTTGTCGGGCTCGATTGGCGGTCGGTAACCACGTCCATTTTCCCCGGATGGTGTGTTATGGGTGAGGCCCCCGGTACCAGCGGTGTATCGCTTTGTTCGCAGGTCGCGGGGATCCGCTGGGTAACGGCGTGAGTGGAGCATTCGCTTTTTGTCCGCGCCTTTTATCGCCCGGCGGCCGGCAAAAACAGCGCCCTTGAGACGCGTCATTATGTCGGCCGTGGGCCTGTGGTGGGAGCGGTACAGCAGCTGGGTATTGCTCTCTGTATGCCCCGGGTCTTGTGAGGCGCCGTCTGCACTCTCCTGACGACATCTGACGTCATCTGACCCAAGTGACGTCAGTGGTTCGCACCCGGCACACACGCTGCGGCGTGCCCGATTGTTGTAGGCGCGTGAACATGTGCGGGGGCGCCGCGCTCGGCTTGACAGCAGGCCTTCATGCTTGACTTGGGGCTGGGTCGCGTGCTCGCGTTGCGGGCTGATCTAATCGCCTGATTTTAAGTGTGCTGGTCTTCTGGAAGTTTCTGAACTTGCCCTTGATTGGCTGTGAGGCACCTGACCGCATGTGGCATTTTGCAAGTGTACAAGTTGTCCAGTGTCTGTCGTGCCGTGGCCGGGCCTTCCGGGGTACGATGTTCGGGTCAGTGCATGACCTGACGTGACCTCATCTGCTGTGGCTCGAGCTGTCATGTAATGGTCGACTCTTGACCTGACCTGACCCAACTGACACTGCTGCAGTGTGTAGGCTGTGATGTAGTCAGCAGCAAACACCCGCCCTGCCCTGCCCTGCCCTGCCCTGCCCTGCCCCGCCCCGCCCGCCCTGCCCCGCCCCGCCCCGCCCTACCTCTCCCCACCTGCCCTGCCCTGCCCCTCCCCGCCGTGACCTGACCTGACCTGACCTGACCCGACCTGACCTGACCTGACCTGACCGGCAGGGGTACGAGCTGCGGCGCGGCCTGAAGCGCTGTGCCCAAATCTCCAGCATGTGCTTCTCGCCCGACTCGCAGTTCCTGGCTCTCAGCAGCAACACAGAGACCATCCACGTGTTCAAGCTGTCGGAGACGGTGGCGCAGCCCGTGTGAGTCCTCGCCCGCCGCGGCTGTGAAGCGGCCGGGCGGATGTGGACGGCGCAGGCTCGGACGGCCGGCCGCTATCACCATGGCTGCTATCACCATGGCCACCATCACCATGGCCGCTATCACCACGGCCACCATCACCATGGCCGCTATCACCGCTACTGCTATCACCATGGCCGCTGTCATCATGTTTTTTGTGAGGATGTCTGATTGCACATCGGGGGATACCTTGGGTGACGTCATCGGTGGCTCTCGACGACACGACCCTGTGGGTGGCGCCGTCAGGTGTGCCCAGCGGCGCCGTGTAACTCGGCCCTCCGCGGTCCCCGAGTGACATCATCGATCGTCGACGAGGCTCTGGAGATGACGCCGTCAGGTGTGCCCAGCGGCGCCGTGTAACTCGGCCCTCCGCGCTCTCCACAGGCCGGCCAAGACGGACGAGAGCGGCTGGATGGGCTACCTTAGCAAGGCGGTGACGGCGTCAGCCAGCTACCTGCCCTCCCAGGTCACCGAGGTTAGTGAGTCGGGACCGGCGCCGCTCACATCCTTGTCCTTGCCTGGGGCGGCACGTCCGGGCCCGGCCCAGCCTGACCCAGTCTGCCCCGGCCCGGCCTGACCCAGCCTGACCCAGCCTGACCCAGTCTGCCCCGGCCCGGCCTGACCCAGCCTGGCCCAGTCTGACCCAGCCTGACCGAGTCTGGCCCGGCCCAGCCTCTGACGGGGTGGCTGACTGATGGTCGCCCCACCGGTGGGCGTCGTGTGACTTCGAGCCAGGCGTTGGGTCGGGGTCGGGGTCCGCTGACGGAGGTCGCCGTTTAGAGACGGGACGCGGTAGTTTCGCCACCCTCCGCGACGTGTGGATACGGACACCGCCGATTACCCACCAGCCGTGCTGCAGCGAGGCTTGAAGGAAGTGAACGGGGCTATAGCCGGGATACACAGCTCGTGTTTGGCCGTTTCAGGCGCGTAATTGTCATGCCGGTCCGTATTACCCCCTCCCCCCCCCCTTCCTACGGTGGTCGCGCTGAAAATCGATGGCCTACAGAGCGCAGTGTCGGGCTGGACGCTGCAGAAGTGGGGAGTGCGGACGACAGTCCTGTGCTTCGATTCTCAGAAAAGTGTTAACGTGGTGTATTTAACTGCCCCGTTGAATGTCGCTGAGGCTCAAACGCATTATAGGCTTCCATCAAAGTATGTTTTTACATATGTTGCCGATAGCTATCAAGGGCCAGCATTGAGGGTAGAATATTTCTCCCGCCCCAGAAGTAACCAAGGTCCTATATCACCTTCCCACTTTCATCTGTGCATGCAGTCGAGCAGCGCCTGGCCGACCGCGAAGTGGCGCGTACTATCGCGGTGTGAAGACGGCACATCTTCGCATTGCTGCGTCGGCCGTAGCTCGGCCGGCCTACCGCTTGTTGCACCGACCGTCTGCCGGTGGCGCCCGACGGAGGTCTGGTCTGACCTGGAAAAGTCCGTCTCTGGGAAGGTCTGTCGGTCGGGACTGCGCTGCGGTCGACGTTGATGACAGTGGCGGCGCCCGTGCCGCAGGTGCTGAACCAGGGTCGAGCGTTCGCCACCGTGCACCTGCCCGTGCCCGGACTCCGCGGCGTCTGCGGTCTCGTCACGTGAGTGTGGGGGGGGGGGGGGGGAGGCGACCTCAGGTCACAGTGTGCGCACCCGAGGCCCGGTGTCCGTTGCGGGGAACTGTGGTAGGGTCAGACGCCGCCGCCGCCGCTGCCGATGAAGCCGTGTTTGTTCAGTCCTGCACAGTCTGGCGAGACCCAGTGACCACCGCGGCCGGCCGCCAGCGGCGCCCGCGCCGGGCTGCGGCTCTCACCAGCTGACGTCGGTGTGCGGCGCTCTGTGGACGAGGCGGGACACGGGACACGGCCGGCCGGCTCTCACCAGCTGACGCCGGTGTGCGGCCGTCTGTGGGCGAGGCGGGACACGGGACACGGCCGGCCGGCTCTCACCAGCTGACGTCGGTGTGGGGCCGTCTGTGGACGAGGCGGGACACGGGACACGGCCGGCCGGCTCTCACCAGCTGACGTCGGTGTGCGGCCGTCTGTGGGCGAGGCGGGACACGGGACACGGCCGGCCGGCTCTCACCAGCTGACGTCGGTGTGGGGCCGTCTGTGGGCGGGGCGGGACACGGGACACGGCCGGCCGGCTCTCACCATTTGACGTCGGTGTGCGGCGGTCTGTGGACGAGGCGGGATATGGGACGCGGCCGGCCGGCGCTGACCGCGACTGTGTACGCCGGGTGTGCGCCGGAGTGTGACGCCGCCTCGTACCCTCCGCTCGGCAGGATCAAGAAGCAGTTGAGGCTGCTGGTGGCCGCCGCGGACGGCTACCTTTACGTCTACAACGTGGACACCAACGAGGGTGGTGACTGCAATCTCATCAAGCAGCATAGGTAAGGTCCCCGACAATTCAGTGTCGAAACCTGTAACTTGCGGGCGGTCAGTTGGTGACCGCTTAGTGACCACTGCAATCAGCGCCTGCTGAAGCACAGATCAGCTAGTACTGACGATTGTCTCCTACTCGCGGTGTTCCAAAACGCGCGTGTCTCGGCCTGAACGGTTTGATGATTGAGCGCGCGTGCCGCGGATGTCCGGTCGTGCCGTGCGACCTCTGACGGAGGTGGCCGGCCGCCAGGCTGGACGGTCGGCTGGAGGGCGAGCTGACGGACCCGGCGCCCGAGGCGGGTCACAGCCCGTCACCGCCGCAGGCGGCACCAGGTGGGCCACCGCTCTCCCGCTGCCGGCGGGCCTGGCCGGGGCGTGTGTGGGTTCCTGCGTGTGGTGGTGTGCGTGGGTTTGTGTGCGTGTGTGTTTCGGGTAGTTTGCTGTGATGTGCCAGAGTGTTGCTGCTCAGTAAATGGCGCAGGGTGTGCAGGGCACTGCCGTGCTCCGTTTCACCCCCGCACGCCGACACGAGGGGGCCGCCGGGCTGTGGGGAGGCGGAAGTAGCCCGCGCCATCTCCCGGTGCTGATGACAGGTTCGAGTGTGGGAACTTCCCGCCACTCAGACACCTGCCTGTGGTTAAGCCTCGCCAGGTGTGGCTATGGGTCAGAGGTTATGTTGGCATCGCTGAAATCACCACCCGCAGACGGTCTTAATATGAGCACCGAACTCCTTCCAAAGATGGGCTTTTCAGTTATCTTCCGAAGACCGGCATTTCTATTTGCACCATCATTTTAGCTGACGGTCACAGTCTGCAAAATGGCCGCGAAGTGCCCCGAAGTGCGTCACCCGCGTCTCAGGAGCTCCACATTGCTGCTTCTTCTTAACTGCACTGGTCTGCGCATGCGCCGCACCGCTTGCATTTCCCCCTGCTGGCAATGTCTGTCGTCCTCTGTGTATAACCTTGACTAAAATGGGCGCGTGCCCGGTACCGAAGACGACCAATTATCCCCGTAGCTACAGCTACCGTTTGGGTACTGGTCGTCAATACCGCGGAAAAGTCAGCTAAATACGCATTGGCTAAGGAACGCGCTGTGTCGCCCTGGGCACAAGTCGCCTAAAAATAAAGCTTGCAGCGCTCTGCCGAGACAGTTTTTGCTGATCTGTGGGCAGACCGTATAAAATGTGTCAAAACTGTTGCGGGAAACCGAAATTTCATTGTTGGTTGGTAAACGTGGGATTTCTTCGCGCCAGTCATATTTCTTCCGTCCCCTCATAGATGGCGTAGGGGTATGTCTGCGTGTGCTTGTTTTCCTCTTCTGTCTGCTGTCCCAGCCGATTGCCTTTTGGCTTCTCCTTCAGCTGATCTGGCGTGGCCGGGGTTAACGGTCAGCTGGTCTGGTGCGCCATGGGCCGACGGATTGCTGGCTCGGTCGACTTGGCCACACCCGGCAGCCGAGTGGAGGCGCGCCGGTGTCAAAATTTATGTGGGAGTCGTTTCAGTTTCAGCCTCCCCCTCTTTGTCTAGGCTGGCTGAACAGTGGTATTTAACTGTTTGATAACATGTGGCACTTACTGTTAACGTTCAAAAAGGAAATCGTCATAGCGATTTCAGCAAACTGAAATAACCGAAAATTTCCCAAAGACAGTTGTCATTTGTGTCGAAAATCGTTTCCGACCGACCCAGCGGGTGACGCCATCGTCAGTAAAAATGTTTCTTGAGACGAGATTTCCACAACAGAAACTCAACCTTACTCTTGGGGTCCGTCCTGCAGTCCGCTGTCCTTTCGCGCAACATATTCCCTGCTGGCCAGCCAGGCATCTGATGTCAAAACTGCGGTCAGCTGATCTGACGAACGGTCGCGCCTTCTGTTGGTCTGATCGGTTCACATCGGACCTACGGTCGGTGCCCTCTGCTGGTCTGATCGGTTCACGTCGGACCTACGGTCGGTGCCCTCTTGTTCTGATCGGCTCACATCGGACCTACGGTCGGTGCCCTCTGCTGGTCTGATCGGTTCACGTCGGACCTACGGTCGGTGCCCTCTTGTTCTGATCGGCTCACATCGGACCTACGGTCGGTGCCCTCTGTTGTTCTGATCGGCTCACATCGGACCTACGGTCGGTGCCCTCTGTTGTTCTGATCGGCTCACATCGGACCTACGGTCGGTGCCCTCTGCTGGCCTGATCGGCTCACATCGGACCTACGGTCGGTGCCCTCTGTTAGCCTGATCGGCTCACGTCGGACCTACGGTCGGTGCCCTCTGTCGGTCTGATCGGCTCATATCGGACCTACGGTCGGTGCCCTCTGTTGTTCTGATCGGCTCACATCGGACCTACGATCGGTGCCCTCTGTTGGCCTGACCGGCTCACGTCGAACCTACGGTGGGTGCCCTCTGTTGGTCTAATCGGCTCACATCTGACCTACGGTCGGTGCCCTCTGTTGGCCTGATCGGCTCACATCGGACCTACGGTCGGTGCCTTCCGTTGGCCTGATCGGCTCACATCGGACCTACGGTCGGTGCCCTCCGTTGGCCTGATCGGCTCACATCGGACCTACGGTCGATGCCTTCTGTTGGTCTAATCGGCTCACATCGGACCTACGGTCGGTGCCCTCCGTTGGCCTGATCGACTCACATCGGACCTACGGTCGGTGCCCTCTGTTGGCCTGATCGGCTCACATCAGACCTACGGTCGGTGCCCCCTGTTGGCCTGATGGGCTCACGTCGGACCTACGGTGGATGTCCTCTGTTGGCCAGACCGGCCGACATCACACGAGAGCGATGCCCTCCGCTGGCCAGCCGGGCCAGCCAGATCAGCTGACGTCACCAGACCCTTAGACGGCGCCCGGGCGCCCTCTCTTTCTGCCGGGGCCGGGGCTCGCCTCGCACGCGCCTAATGGATCCGTCTCTCGCAGGGCTGGGAAGTAGCTACGCCGGCGTGCTGCGCGGGCGCTGTGACGACTCCATGACAGGTACTCCCTCCATAGCCGGTAACTACCCGCAGGCCAGGCGCGAGGGCAGCCACGAGGCGGCTCCGGCGGGCGGCGCCACCGTCGCTCCGGCTGATGGCGCCACTGTCGGTCCGACAGGCGGCGTCACCATCGCTCCGGCGGCCGCCCGGTGGCGCTGTCTGCTCGGAGGTGCTTCGGGCAGCCGACTAATCCCCGCATTAGAGGTGCTAGTGGGCCAGTGGGGGTGGGTGGGGCAGCACTCCAGCCGACCCGGGTCCTGTGCCAGGGGCCCGGGCCGACCGGCGCCTCGCGTGCTGTGCTGTGCCTGTGCGGCTGCTGGCGGTGCGTTCGCTGGTTGGCCGTGCTCGCGCCGCGCCGTGCCGGCCGCCGCCAGCCCGCCTGTCCGTCCGCCAGTGTTCGTTTGTTTGTGTGTGTTTGTTGGTGTGCGTGCCAGAGCCGGCGCCGTCACTAACGGTCCGTCCGTGGCCAGACTCGGAGAAGTACCAGGAGATGCGCGCCGCCACCGAGTCGCCGCCGTCGGAGGGGCCGTATCAGCTACACGACGAGGAAGAGTTCCCGCCCATGTCCTAGCCGGCGCGCGGGCACGGCGGACACGGCTCCGGACCGCGCACACCGGACGACCAGGACCGGGCTGGGCCCGCCGGGCACCCGGCGAGCCGATCCAGCGGCCCACTGGACTCGGACCCGGGACCGCCCGGTCCCAGCGGACACGGATCCCGGACAGCGCGGTGCTTTCACGCGTCATAGACGGCGTGAACCGGCCGCGGTCGGGGCGATCAGGGCTCGTGCAGCTGCCCTCTGGCTCTGGGCCACATTAGGCGCGCGGCGAGGCTGGAGAGTCAGGTCGAGCGGGGTTCAGCTCGGCAGTCAGAGTAGCGGCGAACTCTCGCGAGGCGGGACGGGGGCGTTCTAGGTCATTTCGCGGCTTAGCTCGCGAGTCAGTTGGCCGGCTTTCGTCACGCGGCGCGATGCACGCGAAAATTCGTCGGCGGTGTGCTATCCTCCAGCGCTGTTTCCCACGTCGGCGTCGCGTCGTCGTCACTGTACCGGACGCTGGCCAGATCGGGACTGGGGCCGGCCAGTCCGCAATAGAAATCCCGCTTGTGTCGCCGACGAGCACAGTCACAGCTTCCCAGCGGCACGTTGTCGGCCGCTTCCCACGGTCGGATCCCACTCAGTGTCCGCGAGCGGCGAGGGTCGGTCGGCTCCCCCACCCCAGGCAGGTGCGCGGCGGTGCAGGCCGGGATAAGGTGCGAGTGATAGGGAGGAGCCAATCAGTCACGAGGTGAGGGGCCGAACGGGCCAGGGGATGGTGTGTCGCCCGGCGGAGGAGAGGCGGGAGTACTTGCTTGGCTTGACGGTTGGCCGGGGCGACAGGGGACGTTTACTGGTGTGTGGGACGACTCTTGTAACGGCGAATGCGTTTTGTTCAATAAATCACGGTGCAGAGATGTGGTTGGTTCTGAAGGGGCGTGGCCTCGTACAGGCAAGGCGAGAAGTGTAATGGGACGCCGCATGGACCCAGGCGAAAGGAACGGGACCGTGTTCTGAGCTGAATCAACCGGCTGCAGGCTAAGTTAAGGTGGCTGGTAGGCTAAACCAACAAGTGCAAGGAGTGCAACGAGTGCAAGGGCGGCTAGCGATCCTCGGCACCGGCTGATGCTAGAGTGGCGGGAATGGCCCTCAGAGAGGTTCAAATCACATTACTGACAGCAATTCATTGATGAAAATGAGACCAGTTTGTCTGAGCCCCAGACAACCCAGATGAAGCCCCGGATCCCAGAAAAATCTCGAACGCCCCTGCTTGAGCGGAATGCCTCCAGGCGCTTTTGGGTGGATGCGCACGACCAGGCTTGACTAGTAATGCGGATGGACTACTCTGGCAACTTGCTAGTCGGTGGTCAAAACTTAGCGCTAATACGAAATGATCTATGATCTCTTTATTGAGTTTGTGCCGGTGTTATCATAAGCAGTGACACACAACGCTTCCCTCTCGTAGGAAATGCATTCCGAAGGTGTTTTTCGAGCCGCAAGGCCAGGGAAAATGCCGCCCGCTGAGTGCGTAAAATATTATCCTTTTGGCGCTGAAAGTGCAAGCTCGCACACACATTGCCACTGGCAGATTGTTATCGCCCGGCAATGTTTATCTCGCAGCTGCCGACATCGTATTCTTTGTTCGATTCACTCTTGACAGTGAGGAGCTGACAGCCGCCGGCCTGGACGCAGAGCTTTAGATAACTGATACGGCAGCCTGGGAAAAACACTTGCAACCCAACCAGAAGATTGCGTCTGTGTGCGTTGTGGGCCACGCGGGTTTATGGGGACACGCGGGCGGGGACGCACGGTCCGTGCCGGGCAGTCAACGTTCAGGCTCCGACGGTGCGGCTCGACGCGAGCCGCGTCAGCGTTTACGACGACGACGACTTCGGAGTGTGCGACGCCGCCCTCCCAACCCCTCTCTTACATTTGGCTTGCAACTCTGGCTAAAAGAGACACTTCCTTTTCAACGTCTGTTTTCGAATCAAGTCGATGGTCCTCCGGAATACTAACGAACTCTTTCGCACGAACACCATCAGATGCCAGTACAGCACTTTCGTCAGGGTTTGGTTTTAGTTTGTTTCGGTAGACGCTCCGACAGCGCATTTCTCAATGCTGGAGGACCGGCTGGAGCGGTGATTTGCGCAGATACGGCGTCCGGCCATAAACGCCTTTGCTCGATCGCAGAAGTTGCAGTCATGCGCTTATGATGTCAATGTGGGATCAGTATCGGCCGTTGCAAGCCTGAACCTTCCTCGCACAAGCAGAAGTATTTCAAATTGAACACAAGTAATTGTGCAAATAACCAATCCAGCCGGGCAGCCGGGCGATGCGCCGTCGGGGGTTCGACCGGAAAGATCGCACTCAAAATCTGACGAGTGCGTTGTCCTGGCAACGGTTTCTGCTGGCTTTTGCTGCTTTCACAAGCACGCTTCAAGCCATACACCGTGTAAATTATGATATCTGGTGTCTACATACGAGCATGCGTGGCTGTTGCATGCTCCGACTTATGTGTGGGCCTGTCCTTTGATCATGCATCTCAGCTGGTAACATGTTTGAATTTTTCAGTTGGCAAGATTCGACTTGACGGACATGATCTGAACTCTGGTTCTGTTCGATTATGTGAACTGGCATCTTTGAGGAAATCAGTGTGTAGATCTCCAAAAAGACGTTTAGGCTGGTTCCAACAGGTAAGCTTACGCTGGTTATCCAGCATCACGTATTACATTTGTCCATTCTGATAAACACGCATGTATTCGGGGATCACCACAGGGCATAGTTTTTGACGTCCCGCAAGTGTTTGTCAGATATCTTAGATGCGCCATTCTGATAACGACTTGGAAGAGAATCGTGGGGTACCAGACTCAGCAATTCCTAGAGCATGTGTTAATGCCGACGGGAATAATTGTTGCAGTGCGCATGAGGCTAATTAGTTTCAGACATGCATAAGGTTGTGATCCATTCCGAGTGGTTGGCATGAGTGTATTTAGGTTTAGAGTGCCTGCTAAGAGTAGCTTGTCGCGTATACCCTGAACCCACCACCCATGTCGTGCAGTTCAATGGATCGTTTTGCCTCTGCCCTTCTGCCAGACAGGAATGCGGTGGTTTTACGTGCCACGCAATGCTGCGGCACGGCCGCCCCGGGCCAGGGTTGACCCCGTCGGCCAGTTATCTGCTTACCTTTTCATTTCAGACGGGTCAAGCAATGCGTAAGCTCTGGACACGCACCCAGTGCCGCTGGATTGCGAGTCCAGCATCTTCCGTCCAGGCCACGGAGACGGCCTGCTCTGGACACGTACCCAGTGCCGCTGGATTGCGAGTCCAGCACGTTTCGTCTAGACCACGGAGACCGCCCGCTCTGGACACGTACCCAGTGCCGCTGGATTGCGAGTCCAGCATGTTTCGTCTAGACCACGGAAACGGCCCGCTCTGGACACGTACCCAGTGCCGCTGGATTGTGAGTCCAGCATGTTTGGTCTAGATCGCAGGGCCGGCCGGGTATTTACGGCTCAAACTAAGCCTGATGCGATCAAGCAGCTGGCACCATTCGACTCGGCATTAGATTGTCGGCCCAGAAAGGTGTCACTAACGCTTTATTGCGCAGGGCTTCACGTTTCCGGTCTAACCTCCACCCGTGTTCGATCAACTTTCATCTTGCACCCGAAAACATTTATGCAGTTGGTATGTACATTCGAGTAAAAGAGGCTTAGATCGCTTTTAACATACCGGTTTGCAATACTTGTCGATCATCACATGCTATATATATATATCCATGACGAATACCGACAAGGCGTTCCAGGAGCTCTATAGAGGTCACCGTTTTTGATGCCACGTAAAAAAACCGAGAGATGTACTCCTTATCCGCTGCAGAGTCGCAGAGGCTGGAGCTTTCCATGTCGTATGATTCCGTGTTGAAGTCAACAGAAAATAATGCAGTACGCTGAAACTGATTATTCCAGTCATCCATGACACATTTTCAACTAAGCACCGTTTGACGCCATCATTGGCACCATTCGATCGGCATTCCAATGTCGGCCTGAAGAGGTGCCATTTTCAGTTGCCTGTGTAGGGTCATCACATGACCTGACGTGACCTCAGCATTGGTTCGGTCAATTTGCATCTGGCACCTAAAAATTTCGATGCACTTGGCACCCATATTCGAATAAAATAGGTTTAGATCGATTTCAATATGTCAGTTTACGCTGCTTACCCTGCCTCCCGTGTCATATTTGTCCATGCGGAATGTTGATCTGGTATGTGGTGACCTCTAGAGGTCACGGCTTTTATGGTCTGGTGGCAAGCCGAGAGATGCATTCGTACTTGGGATGGCCCGCACTTGAAGCAATTTTAAGGAAAAGCGAAGATGTTGGGATTCTCCAGTACCTTGTGTCTTGTGCTGAGCCAGTGGAAAATGTTGGGTGATGCGGAATGCCGGTAAGTTTCTAGGAAGAACAGCAATCTCTTTCGATCTGTTCGGGCTAGTACTGTTTGAAGGGGATTTTTGACACCTGCGTAACGTTCCGGAAAGGATGGTATATAGCATACAACATGTTTGTCAACGCTTAACGGTTGACCTGTTTTGACCTCTGGAGGTCGAACCACCCGATGCCTTACACAGAGCTGTTACTTAATGTAGCTGCGCATCTTTGACTATCTCAAGTTTAAGTTCATTAAAAGCGAACGAATCGTCGATTGCTGCTGAATATGGATATCAAACTGCAGCTGCTAGCTTCACGCATGCAAATATCAAACACTCGGGCAGTGCGTCACAGAGCTCGCACCCCAGAAACCACACAATCAAAATGTCCGATCACCATGTTTACAAGTATTCAGAAACGATGTGAATATGTCCACATAGAAATACACACACACACACACACACACACACACACACACACACACACACACACACACACACACACACACACACACACACACACACACACACACACACACACACACACACACACACACACACACACACACACACGCACGCACGCACGCACGCACGCACACACACACACACACACACACACATATATATATATATATATATATATATATATATATATATATATATATATATATACATTAAATATATGTATTCATAAATCCATAAATCCAGCCAAACGATGTAAACAGCAGGAGTACGAGAACATTGCGTATGAAGCATGCGGCGCAAAAATTGAAAATACGAGTAATTTCGGAATTAACAAATACGAACGAATAGGAATGCGATACGAAGTATTGCGTGCACGAAACACGGTTCAATGCGCGGAAAAAGGACCATGCGTTGTGTAATATTACAATGGAAGACATCAGCGCTGAATTCTACTCGTTACATTGGCCATCCTGAGTTGATATCACGGTGTAATGTTTACGTGGTCCACGGTATGTGAGACGAGGACTGAGATTCGGCCATGGCCGTCAACCCCGCTTCTGTCAGGCCGAGGTCGCTCCGTGTGCGGAACGCATACCGGATAGCTCCTGGGGCGAAAACCCGCGCGGGTCACGCATAGTGCAACTGATTTCACGCTCCAGCAAGCAGTCGACGCCACATGAGGGCCCGACTACCCATCCACTGGGTTATGCGTGGCGATCTGGTGTGCTTTCGCTGCCAGGGTTGACTCCACTTCCATCGGGGTGCATTCCAGACTGAAACCGTTTCTGCTTCGGCTGGGATCAAATTCGACAAAATTCTGTGCTGCACCTCTCGCAGTTATGGTCCGAATCAGCCCCAGACACTGAGAATCGGTGTTTGGATTGCTTTCGCACTAGCGAAATCAAGTGCTTGTTTAGACGTACATTGTAAGCAAGCTATTTATGACCAGTTCGGTCCGGACTGGAATTTTGGCACTTGGACTTCAAAAAGTTACCTATTCTTTCCATAAAATGCCGATATTTGTGTCTTTCAAAGACATTTCTACAGGAGTCCGCCCTTATTATGTCGCCTCACAGGCTGCCAGCAAGGGGTTAAAGCAACATTAAACATTTAGTACTCGGTAGTCTTCTCAGGCCAATGTACGCTTATGGCGCCGTAATGCATTATTTGTTACATTTCCAGCGCAAGCGTCCTGGAAGCGTCAGAATTTGCAACAGCGCGGCTGGTTGTTCGTTGTGGTGCAACATGTGTGTTGAGTGGGGTCGCGTCAGTGGAAAATTGGGGTTGGGAATGGTTAGCAATGCGTGATTTGACGTGAATAAGCGTCGAGAATAGATGACATCTGGTGGGTCAGTCTAAACAAATCTCAGCACTGGTTTTCTTCGACCGGTTTTACTTTCACCAGCTTCGTGTGCATTTCCTTTTTAGCATAGGGTATTTGTCATCGCACTGACAGCTTGAGAAGCCCTGCAAGGTATGCACTGTTTTGTGAAATATTTGCCTGCTTTTGCCTCATCAAACTTTGCACTGCCGGGCGTAATTTAATGTTGGCTGCTGGCTCGGTGCATTATTGAAATGGCTGAATGTCCACTTGTTTACCTCGTAGCCGACATTTAGTCATGTAATGCCATTGCGGCTCTGATTCACAAATAACAAGGTCTAATTTTTTAGATATTGGTTTTGTGGAACTTTGCTGCTGAACATGATCAATATACTCACAAAAGTCAGATTTTTATCCATGACAGGTAAATGACCATTTAAATACAATATATGTAGGAAGGACATATTTTGGGATTTGAATGTATTGAAAGAGGTGGGTAAAATATTGTCAGTATATATGCCAGATTACACATAAAGTAGTGTCCCAGCCTGCATATCATTGTAAGTGGTAATTATCATTATCATCGTAAATGTGCCAGTATGATGTCTGGAGCAGGCAGGGTCATACCTATATACAATGGTGAAGTGCCTCATTTGGGGCAGATTTTCATCCTCACTCAAAAACATTCTCATCAGCCTCTAACTTTCTATGATCTCACCTGTTTTGCATTTTATGGGGGTGCACCACAATGTTCTCCATACTCCAATAGGGTATTTTTCCAAAATTATGGTACATTGCCACAAATAAGAAATTATGCCCTGCTACTGCCCCAACAACACCTCATTGAAACCTGCCTTGGGTTGCAGGCCGATGGCCTACAACATGGATGGGCTGCCTGCTGAGGATCAAAATGAGTCTTTTCTCCAGGCAAAGATCAAATTTTATGTGCTAAGTGATATATAATTTTAGGTATATATGGTATATCTGTGATTGTTGTATTTTCCCAAAAGAGATCATGATATAGTCCAAGCCCTGTAAAGCCCCAATTACTACCACTGCTTAATCAGAAGAGAGGTAATTATAAAACAACAGTAGATGAGGATGTTATGCCATCATCTTAGCTGAGATTTAGTGAGACAAGCAAAATGGAAATTGTTTCACAAAGGAGTGGGTATGAATCAGGGTGAACTCAGAATTTGCATCTAGGCTGAGGACTTTTGTTATGTAGACTAGCAATGTCTGAAATATGGTTGAGCCTTTTGGGAAGCAATGTCAGAGGTTTGTTAATTACAGTGTGCAATAATGGTGATATTTACCAATTAGCTTGGCTGTTACATACAGCTGACACTGTAAGGCATTGGCTTTAAAGCAAGCACATGGATGCTGTGCAAAAAATTGGTTCCAGAAACTGCCCTTTGCCCAGATAGCTGCCTAAAGGCTGGGAATCTTTTCATGCATGTTATTGCTTCAGGCTTGGGGCTGTAGTGCTGACCATTGCAAAGTTTGTGCCTGTAAGTGATCTCACCATTCTCACCTGCTTACTTATAAAGCTTCACCAAACTTTCAGCATGCAGCTGGGATAGGTATCTGCCTATCCACCTTGCTAATGCAATGTCCCGTAGGGCAGGCTGCAGACACTGAACATGATTGCTAGACCTGTATGACAGTCATATACTCATGTGTGTGAGAAACAGGCGCAGAGCTGTTGGATTACACAACCACAACTTAAGATTGTTCATAAGGGATACCCCACAGCTGGCATGTCAGGTTTGCCCTGAACTTGTCCTCTGTCACACTGGCTTAGACTGGACATATTCAATCCTTGTTAGTGAGATGATACCCCATTGGTTTTGGTCCAGTCAGCTTGGAATAATGTTAATCACTTCTCCCTGTCTGGCTAGCAGAGACCTTAAAGTTGTCATCAACAAATTTGCAGTGGGATTGTCTCCCTAAAATATCACTAGTCATAACAGCTACCACCTGTTGATCTTATGCCAGGTCTGTCAGGGTGTTCTCAGTGCATATGGCAGGAGCCATCAGAAATGATCACAGCTGGCACTGCAGGCCAAGCAACTCCAACCTCAGGTGTGATAATATTTCAAATCAAGTGACCCAGTCCAGTTGTCACACTTTCTAGGAGGTAATGTATTTGCAACCTCGCACATTCCTTTTCTGTTTTATGTAAGTATCAAACATGTAATTGTTAGGCAGTGACACTGCTGAAGACTGTAAAGGCTGGTCAAAACCATGTGCAGATCTAAATGACCTGGCATCACAACAAAACAAAGTCAATGCAGTCAGATGGAGGAGAAAATAGGCAGTCACACAAAAATGTAAAACTGTGGTTGTATGTGTGACAGGTGTTATGCCATCAGGCACAAACCATGGATCCAGCAGTTTTGGGACTCTGGTATAAGGTTGTGATAACTCAGCAAAAAGTGCAGGCAAAGGGGTGGAACCAGCTATAGGATGTAGGTGAACATACCTTTGATGAATCACTTGCAATGCCAGCAAGTTCCCACCCACTGGATGTGCTCATTGCT